TGCAGCACAACCCTCTTTTGCCAACCTGGTCTAGTCTGGTGTTATTTATCCTCAGTATTGCCCTAAAAATCTCCAGTACCACTTCTTCCGTGGAAAGTGTTTTAGTAAGTCTTGGCATGGTCTGTATTGTTACTGGAATGGCTCAGGGAGTTAATCATTCTGCTCCTAGTGCAATTGTTGAAACAGATTGTTTTTCCAGTTTCTGCCAGCAGGAATTTTCTGCCTTTTTTTTTTTTTTTTTTTAAGTCACACCCACGCACCAATAAAATTTATGGTCTGAAATATAAGCTCAGTTGTATTTTAAACCAGGGTTTGGGAGCTTGTTAGGGTGGGTTAACCCCCAAATGCCATAATCAGCCAGCTCCACGGTCACTGTCCTGGGGAAAACAGGAGAGTGGAGGTATATTCTGATATATACCCAGCATTGTGGGAATGTCTGTAATGCAGGCTTGGTTCATGCCTTCAGCTCTGTATTTTGGAGAAGCTGCCCCATCAGTAACTGGGAGATTGATGTCCTTAGTTGTGGGCAGATGTGGTTGCTGAGAGTTACAATTCTCAAGTTCGTTGGGTCTTAATTTGTAGATCCCATCCCCAAGTTCACTGCAGTGATTCCTGTAAGTGACCAAGCAGTTTTTTGTGGCTTTTGCCACAGTGTGTGTGGACCAGGGGCATTCCACTGTCACCATGAACCTGTGGAATAACTAACAGGAGCTGGCAGCCTCAGCCAGAATTTCTCAGAAGCTGAGATTGATGTGAGTGAACTCAACTAGGACAGCTCCACTGTTGCCAATTTATTTATCCTCCCCCTTCCTTCATTTATTACTTAATAAAGCTAAAAATATTTGAAACAGATAAATACTCCCTTGCACAGGCACTGAGATGTTGAACATCCAAAGAGAGCTCAGTCCTTTATAATGTTTTGCCTTTCTCTGGAGTTTGCTTTCATGTATCTGTTACTTGAAAACAGCACTGCTGCAACATTGGTTTTTATGTGTGTTTTATTGCAGATACTTAGACTTTCTGTATTTGATACTTGATATAGTTCTTACTGAATATTGTCATTTGTTTTGCTTTTTAAATGGTGGTGGAAAATTAAAATATTTTACCATAGTACATAGTGCTGTTACTGCTTGTTTATTTTACATTAAATAGGTGTGATTCATACTGTTTTCAGTCTTATTTTGAAAAGTATTAGTTAAGATTAGGCATATCTTTACAGCATACTCCAAATATGTAATTTGATTAATTTTTTGACAGATGTGAAATACTTCCAGTCTTCACACTGGTGTTTGAAGTACATGTGTAGTAATATAAAATGTTGCCAGATTGTTTTGTTTCTCCTTAACAGAACATAATTTCTGATCAAAGGCTTTCAAGATGTGCCTTGTGGGATGTTTGGTTTTTTGTACTCTGATAGGCACTTAGGATTTTGTGTGCATACTGACAGATATTAGACAAATAAGAGCAAAATTACTAGATTAAAAAAGAACCCACTGATTAGGGATCACTATTAAAAAACACAGCTAAACCCCATCTCCTCATGATTGTCAGAATAAGATCCTGAGAATGGCAAGTTTACTTGCTGTGTGAGTATAGAACAGTAATGAGGAATCATGATTCTGGTTCTAGTAACAGCAGGGAAATTTGGAATTTTCTAAATAGAAGTCATTGGCTTATTTTATTTTGATTGTACCAAAAGGGAAGATCAAGCAAGAGAGTTGTCTCAAATACTTTGTGCTGAGGCTGTTGTGTTGTCTGCTGGAGTGATTGCTTGGGTGCCCAGGCTCATTTCTCACAGGCAGTGAAATAATGAAGTGAAATGTGCAGAAATCTTACACACTTTGAGGGCTGTGGACCAGGGTGGTAATTACACCGTGGTGGTGTTGGGTGTACATTTTGTGTCAGGGAATGAGCTGTGAGTGTCCTGCAGAGCTCTGGGTGCATTTCAACCTTCACAGTCAACAGGAGGATACAGCTGGGTGTGACTGCTCTGCACATCAGTGGGTCAACACAGCGCAGGAAACCACTTGTATTTTTCTTGGTCTCCTGCAAATTAAAAAGAAAAGAAGGAAGATGACTTGTTCTTACTGAGTTCAGGTAAATAAAAAGCATAGATACCAGCAGTATTCATCCACTGTGTGCTTCCAGTAAAGTCCCAGCGTGCTCAGTGTTAACCTCTGAGCCCTGGGGACTTCCACAGGGGCTGCACGCCAGCTTTAAGTGCAGCTTCTGCTCAGTTAGCTTTTGCATGTGTACTGTGAAGTCCATCTTGTTACTTTGAGAATCAGTTTGGGATTGTTCCTCTAAATTTTAATAAGCCTTGCAACAGGTTCCTAAAATCTTTAAAAAATATAGTTAGAAGCATTAAAAGAGATGAGAAAAGAAGGAAATTAAATTTAATCTGCTGCATAATTCAGTCTTCTGAGGGTGGCTGTCACTTTTTGGTCCCTTGTTGGTGTTCTTTATTTTAAAGTATTCTCCCCTGTGCCTCCCTCCAATCCTGCATCCCAAATCATAGGAAATTGCATCCTGCTCATCTTGAAGGCAGCAGCAAAAAGTGTTGGCTCAGATTCTGGTGGAATCATGAAATTTTTGTGTTGCATATTCAGCATGTAAATATGCTGAATATCACAATACTGAAAGATGATAAATGCTCTTTTTTTTTTTCTTGCATCCATTTCACTGATCCTTGTACCTGAGTTGTATTTTAAATTTTTAATTGACTGCTCTTAGAGTTTTGCTCTACCTTGAATCTCAGTATCTTGAACTTCAGTTCATGGTGCACAAAACAATGAGCTGGCTAAAACAGTCCAAAATGTAAAAATATATGATACGTCAAAGACCTTAAAATATGTTTTTTAAGTATGGGGTTTCTAGGAATTTTAATAGTGCATATTGGCAAATGTAATTCATAACAGCTTCTGTGTTCATGTTATGAGGAGGATATTTTTTGTTTGTTTTGACAGTTCATTCTTTCCTTGAATTAATATTAGCATTTATTTTTGAAAATAATGCAAATTTTTGTGAGGGTTTATGGTAAATAAGTGACAGCTCTCACTGAATTTACACCTAGGTAAGAATATAAAGTAAAGGTAGATGCCAAAGGGGTTAGTCTCATGTTACAAGTGCAAGACTATAAATTAGTTGAATGTCCAGCCTGTCATTTTCAGGTCTTGTTTTTGTAAATATTGATTATATTTTTCAGTAGTTTGCATTTTGTTAAAAAAGTGAATCACTTTGATGTTTTACAGTGTATAAAGGAAGTTTTTTGCCACAAATTTTCGAAAAGGATATTGTCAAGGGATTTTTTTTTTCCTTATTTAATCTTTGCATTTATTCTTTTAAGAATCCCCAGTGACAGCAGCTGGGCTGCTCTCCTCCATTTGTGTTCCTGTTGGTTTGTGATTATAGGGTTATTGATAAGTGTTGTGCTTTTTGGCATTGATGTGTTTTTCAGAAAAAAGAATTGAAGCATTTGTTTTGAAAAAAGAAAAACACATTTAAAGAATTACATGGACTTTGCAAACAGATTTAAGGAAATGAAAGGTAGGTCAAGTTTTGGGCCTACAAATCTGACAGTGTCCTTTACTTTTAACATGTGTGCTTTATATGAGACACATACGAGCCTCAGCCTAATGATGTTAAGTTAATCAGCAGTAGAAAAATACGAAAATTACATTGTTATTAATCTTGATAGCTTTGCATTGTAGGACATTTTCTGATGTCAGGAAGCCATGGCAGCCTGCTTTGAGGTTCCTGGTATTTGGGCATAGTGATTACTTCAGTTACTGTCAGTTTGTACCATAAAAGGTTGTTTTATGAAAAGTTTGAAACGCGTTTTAACGGCCTGGATTATGTCAGGGAGAGCTTTCTTACCCTGCAGTCCTGAGTATGCCTAATGACATTGGCTTCTTCCCCCTTGGAGGGTAGCACAAACAATGCCCCTTTGTTTGAGGAGCAGGAGATGCAGGTTGGGTTTGGGAGGGAGGAGGACACTACCCCGCTTGGGTAGCTTCTTCCCAGTTTAAAAAAATACATCTTGTGCTAAGGTTGGTCTGATCACTTTTAAGTCCCCCTGCTCTCAGAGGTGTGGAGATAAAATAATTCACGGTCCTTCCACTCCTGTTTTTTTTGCAAAGCTGGATGATGAGCTCATTAATTCCCTTGTTTCTGGGACCCACAGTCAGTTGTGCACAAGGCTGGCCTCCTCTCAGCTGAAAACCGGTTTTTCAATTCTCAAGTTTATTTCCATAAGAGCTGGACTAGAATAAGGTTTTGATAGGTTTTTTTCCAGGAGAGCTAGTCCAGACTGCAGCTGTGCGAAGGCACTGTGCTGTGAGCCACATGGTGAATAGCTGCTGCCTAAGGACAGCTGCTCTGTCTGTCTCTGCACCTTAGACCTGGTATTAATTTAGAAAAATCCCAGCAGCCACTGGCACAGTAGCTATTATTGGGATAAGAGCTTCCACACCAGATTATTTCCACATGGGGGCAGGGCAGAAACCCTAGACTAACAGCTGGATTAGAACTGTTGGGAAAGTGTTAGGTTTTTTCTTTAATACATTTAGATAACCTTAAGGGCCTGACTTACACCCAGCAAAAACATCAAGTTCAGAGTTAAGGCTTCTCACTCCATCTCTGGTACCCACTGGAGTGCTTGGCCCTCCAGCAGGGGGATTTTGGAGGTCACACACTATCCCTGGATCCCTGCTCACCCAGGCAAAGCCTTGGCCATGTGAGTGGTGGCCACCGTTCCAGGTAGGTGTATTTACAATACACCTGCTGTCCTGAGCAAGGTGCCTGTGTGTCTTAACACTCCACTGGTTTCCCTGGAATGTTAATGGCCAGTGGCAGCACAGCAGGTGTGGTGGAAAGCCAGCAGCCATAGGGGGAAGGGTGCAGATGCAGTGAGAAGCTTTAATTTTGAGTTTCCTGCCTTCTGTGAGCACGAGTCAGACCCTTAACGTTGTTTTAATGTATTGTTTGTGTTTAATTTTTAGTAAAAATTTGAACACCATCCAGGCTACAGAGGTTGCAGTGGATAAGAAGTATAAAAGCTTTGGTTCAAGATTACAGGAGGCTGCAAGAAAAATTAAAGACATGGAAATGAGGATGGAATGACAGGCTGCTATTTTCCCTCAGAATACTGAAGATTGTAAAGCATTGAGAAATCGAATTCATGATCCTGGAAATCAAGCTCAGATTAAGAAATGTCAGGTTGGTAGGGGTTCCTGAAAGTCTTGAGTTAGGATAAACTAAGATTGTTTTCCCATAACAAAGGTTATAGGATGTGGGGGTGGATGGTATAATTTTTGTTATCTGTGTAATGTGAAGTGCTGTACCATAATACTTTTAAATAAGCCAGCTAAGTGAAATTATTTATTTAAATCAGTTTCATGTTTGTCATGTTGAATGTTACTTCTGACCACTTTGCAGTTACTTCTCTCTGGCACAAAGTTGCATTATTCACTGTAAATGCAGGCATGGAAAACTCTGCTCTTAAATCCACATTGCCTTCTGCTGCCTCTCCAAGGGTCTCCTGCAAAGCCAAAGGCACAGTGCAGTGTGACATTCCCAGATAAAAACTGAGCAGAATGTATCTAAATGCTGGAAGAGGAAGCTTTTTTTTCAAAAGGTTCTGATTCATCGTGAAGCCATGTCTTCCCAAATGGGAACTTCAAACAGGGACTGCCACTGGGATGAAGTTCCCGAAAGTTAACTGGAGTGGGGAGTTGCTGCGTGCCATTCAGGGGGTTCAAAAGGTTCTGATTCATAGTGAAGCCATGTCTTCCCAAATGGGACTGCCACTGGGATGAAGTTCCCGAAAGTTAACTGGAGTGGGGAGTTGCTGCGTGCCATTCAGGGGCAGGATATTTAGGCAGAAAGATTGTGCAACAGGAAATCTCTGCTGAAGTTCAGAAAGGATTTTGGCAAGCAAAGGTTTGTAGGGTTTTCGTGGTCAAGGTCACTGGATGTGTCTGAGTTCTGGGGATTCTTAAGAGAGCCTTAAAATCTCTCAGGGAGGGCTTCTCCTTCTGGGTTTTTGGTTTTTTTTGTTTTTTTTTTTTGACTCTGTTCCTATGCTCTGGCATTCCCCTTAGCACCCATGTTACACAAGTAACTTGGTTGAAATCTTAGATACACTGGTGTGAGGGGAAAACCAGACCACACCTTTATGTGTTTTAGAGCAATCATTGTCTGAAAGGGCTCTGCTTAGTGCTCTAACATTTCATGATTTTTTTGAGCTAGCTCGAGTCAGAAAAGTGTTTCTTTGAAGTGAGTTTTTAATCTCATCTGCTTTTTTCAGTTTGGACTGTGTGCTCTGACAGAGGTGCTTTAGTTGTAGGTCTGAGGGAATCACCTGTGCTATATTTTTCCTCATTCATCTGCAAAAAATTTAGTATCAAAGTTCTTTGTTTTTTAAATTTTATTTTAGCTAGCATTATGACTTGTTATTGATGTTCTGGCTTTGCTGTGCTGACAAGACCATGACATTTCAGTTGTTGAGTGAGCACAGTCACTCTAAGCAAAATGAAGAGGTCTTGCAATGTCATTTTTGCATTTGTTTCTAGATATAATTGCATTTTATGAATGCTGTTATATACTGCTTTTTAAAAAATGTGAGCAAGTCTATAACATGCTTTTTCCTAGGATGTTTTTAAGTAAATTTAATGTGGAGTTTTATAATTAAATCCCCATTAAAAGATAGAATTGTTCCATTAGTAACTTAAGTATTTTTATGTTGTATATTCTAGTGTTTGTGTCCTGTACTACGTTACAGGTATGTAGTTTATTTACTAAAAATGTCTGTATGAGGGTTATGTGACCATTTTTGGTTCAAAGAAGTGTCAATAATAAGCTATCAAGATGCAGTTTTCAAAAATGACATATTAATGTCTTTCATTTAGTTTTGGTGGCTGAATATTACTGAAGTAATGTGTACCAGAAGAATTTCTAAGCTTGTCTATCATAGTACAGGTTAGGAGTGGGTGTTTTTGCAACAGTGTAATTTCCGTGACAAACCTTGCTGGTGGGTGTTTTTTCCCATCTGAAAAATGGTGAGAGTACTGCAGAGTCAGTCAATCCATGCTATCATCAGATGTGGGGAGGTGCTGGAAGTAGAACAGAAAAGAACCAAATGTAGTGACTGTTTTTCTCATGTCTTCAGGTATAAAAACCATTTGAATAGGTGAAGAATTGAAATGCCAGATTGCAGTGGTGCTGGGCTGTCCTGAATTGGTTAGGAGGGGACGTGGAATTGTGGGGTTCAGGCTAGGCCACTGAGGACTGTGAGGGCAGCAGTCTCTGGAGCTGTCCTTCAGCCCCAGACCTCAGGCTGGTCCCAGGGGGAAGTCATATGCTATTTTTGTTGAGTTGTGAAAATCTCTCTTCCCAGCAGCTGGTTTTCTTCACCAGATACCTTGTACAGCAGGGATTGTACTGATTTTCCATCCACTTGAAATGCAGATACCAGTCTTTCAGGACTTGCTTTCTGACACAGGCTGGGGCTTAAGATGCAGGGATTGCTTGTGGAAGTTAACTGGGGCACCTCAGTCATTTGCATTGCTGTTGGGCCAACTTGGATTGTCAAGCAATGTTTTAAAATTGACACTGCAACAAAAATATGTGTTGAAATTTGTATACAAGAAATACCTAGCATGATTCACTTCGCAATGCTTAAAACCTCTTATTTTAAAAGAGGAAAAATGTACTTTACCCTTTGTTTTGTTTTTTTTATCTCTTCAGGAAGTCTTTTTTCCCACCCATGCTTAACTACTTTCTGTAAATGCAGTGGTTTAATAGTATTCCCTTGAGTATTTCTGTGTAAATAGCATCTGTATTGTTAAAGGGATGCTCTCTAAATATCTTACGGATTATTTTTCATTTCCAGACTCTGTAAGGATGTAAATTAAGTCTTAAGTTTGGACTGATTTTCCTTCTCCCAGATACTTGACATGAATTTCTTTGTCACTCCACAGTGTTCAGAGTGTGACATTGATTTAGGGAGGGACATTTTTTGCCTGTTTTGCAAGAGTTTTCCGTGGCGGATTAAAAGTATGATGTGTTTGACTAAGCTGTGTAGAACTGTTTGGTAAAACTTTTTAAGTCTAAGCAGACCTACATAGATCAGCAATTTGCCTGTAAACTTGGACACTGGATCCTCAGTAAATGGAAAATTTTGCTGTTGTAGGCTTTTTTAAGTTAAATTTTAGTCTCAGTAGAATCATCATTATATATGTAAATTGAATACTCAAATCCTTACTGAGTTGCTTATTATATTCCATAAGCTCCACTCTTCTTGCAAGCCTGGGCAAGATATTTCTCACTCTTTCTAGAGCTCACAAAGGTGTGGAATCCAGTCAAAACCCAAAGGCTGAACAAGGTTGCACAGACACTTATTAGTGCAGTGAGATGTATCTTTAAAAAACAAGTGTACTATTCCCTCAGTGTTTTTATCCATCTTTCAAAGTTCAGCCTTCTGAACCTCCGTGGAATTTCTTTGTAAGGTCTTCTGTGTTTGGTTGACAGCTGAGTGTAAACCTGTTCCTGTTTTATTAGCTTCAGTCCTTGAAATCTTTTTCTGCCATCAGAATAAACAAGACTAGCTATAACCTATTTTTAATCTTATTTGCATGGCCTGAATAACAAGACTTCTGTGTTTCTTTGCAGGCATTCGACCTCCGATCATGAATGGGCCCATGCACCCGCGCCCTTTGGTAGCGTTGCTGGATGGCAGGGACTGTACAGTAGAAATGCCTATTCTGAAGGATGTAGCCACAGTGGCATTTTGTGATGCTCAGTCTACACAAGAAATTCATGAAAAGGTAATGATTAAGAGGGACAGCTGAGGTGTTTTGGGGAATGCAAGTATTTTAATGATTTGGTACAGTGTTGTGTCAGCTGTGACGTGTTAATACAATGTCTGTGGTGGGCTGTGCTTCAGTGTGTCCCTGGCTGGATGTTGTCCCTCTGCTTCCCTGAATAACAATCTACTGATTTAGATTCATGGAGAGTTACTTCTGGGCAAAATTCTACTACATGGTATCTTGAAATGCTCCTTGGAAACATTTCTGTTGCTCAGCCTTTGCCTGGAAAGACAGATCTCAAGTATTGGGTTGTCTGTGTGGGTAACTTTATTATTTCTTTGTTTAGCCAAGGAATTGTGCAGGTTGGGTTAGGCAGCCATGTGCACTGAGAGATGTCACTGCAGAAGAGTTTCAAAACAATTGCTAACCCGAAATTTACGTGGAAAATGTGGTGAATGTCAACCGAAATTGAGAACACATGCAAGAAATTAAAAAATTCTCAGTCTTCATTCATAATGGATCTGCAGAGATCATGTTTGTTGAGATTTTTAATAAAATAAAAGTTAATTTATAAGGTTCAAAGAAAATATATGGTTTTTTTTAATTTAGAGGAAACATGAGTTTTCTCAATTCCTTTTTATTTTACTATATATCAAGAACTAAAATATGAAGAATGCCTTTTTTCTGTGTATTTCTTTCTAATCATGTTGAGAAGTTGCTTTTGTTTTATTGTTAGGAGTTAATACACGGATTACATTTACAAAAACTAAATTACACATGAAGAATAAGTAATATAAATGCTGTTCTGTTGGTAGATAAGAGCAGTCTGTTCTTGGGGTGAACATTATAGCATTGGCTGCTCCACCACCTGTATAGTTCTATGATTTGCTTACTAAAATCAACATCATTTCCTTCTGGTGCATCAAGACTGGGGAATCCTGTGTGCCATGAATGCCTTGCAAAAAAAACAATGGGTATTTTCTGGTAGCAGTGATGTGTAATAAATGAACTTTTCAGATCCTGAGATTGTGTGTTGCTCATATTGCAGGTTTGGAAAAGTATTTGAATAACTGATGAGTGACCTAGATAATCTGTTGCTGATCTTCACAACACTGCTGTATGGAGGGGATCATGCTCAAGCTTGCGTCTTTTGCTTTTTATTATACAAAAATAATTAATTCTCAGTGATGTCAGTAATAGATCAGGAAAATATATTTTCAATACCTATGAGTACAGTGTCATAATACAGGTTTTCACTTATCTAAGTAGTAAAACTTTGGGGTCTGCAAGGTAATACATTTCTACAACAAAAGTCACAAACCAGAATTCATTATACTGCTGTATTCCTTTAACATAGACCAAGAGATCAGTTATATGGAGTGTTAAGCACTGTTCAGTTCTGTGTGAAAAGTGTTCACTGTTCATCTGCACTGGAAAATGACTACTTTTCACCTGTCTTTAGAGGAGTATTTGTATTTTAGTACTGTTTGAATAATACATTATTTGGGAATGGCGCTTTGCTAAATACAAAATTGTTTTCACAGAAGGTTTTAAAATGAAGAGTTGCATATTTAAAGCAGGATCAAAAATGTTCATGTATTTCTGAGTGCACATTTGTGGCTGTACTAAATGATGTTGGCCTGTTAGTTGAAATACAGATTTTGATAATAGATAGTAAGAAGAGCTACTGAAACCATAGGCTTGCAGATCAGATACCTTTAATGTGAAGTTGCAGGGAGCAAGCCAGAGGCTGGGAAGTTTAGGATGGGGTTAGAAGGGTGATTGACATTGTTTGACACTCTTAGGTGGGTGACTGTAGTGGGGCAGGGGGAATCTGCAGGGTGAACCAAGAATCAGATGGGGAGGAATGGAGTGAAAGGCAGCAAAAGGATGTCTAGGAAAGTTGGAACCCATATTAACTCAGCTTGTACACTTGTGGAGCCCTGATCACAGGATTGTGAGGAGTCAGAGTTTGAGAAATTAACATTTTGGAACCTGCAGGAGGGATTTCTGCTGATCATGAGTTTCAGGGACAAGACATGCTTTAAATACTGTGTTTTCAGTTTTTTGAGGAAATAGAGTGGAAAGCGGAATTTATCGTGGCTTGTGAGACAGCAAAGTACAAGCAAGGTAGTTTTTCATAGAGGAGCAAGCAGGCTGAGAGATTTTAACACAAAAAGAAACATGTAAAAGAGGCTAGGATTTGAATGCCGTTTGTGTGCAGGGTCAGGAGCAGGATTTTAGCAAATAACCTTTCTCTGTGTGCTCAGTCAAGAAAGCTTTCTCCAGCTGGGTAACTGAGTTGCAATTGTGTAGCAACTCCCTTGTGCCAAGAGTTCATTTGCCAATCACTTCTTACGGCTGAGGAGATTAAACCGTGAAAATAAGTAACAAGTTGTAAAGTTGCAAATAAGTAATAACGTAGTAGAACTGTGCTTCATCTCAGGTCAAAGCATTTGTTCCCCATTCCACTGCTTTGGAAAGCAACTTGGATGGTGGAGATACATTTCCCTCCTGAAAAATTGGGCTGCCAGTACTTAAATGAATACTGACATTTACTGAGTGACCCAATGTTTTGAAATAACTTTGTAGTTAGGATCACTGTAAAGTTGCAAATGAGTAATAACATGTAGTAGAACTGTGCTTCATCTCAGGTCAAAGCATTTGTTCCCCATTCCACTGCTTTGGAAAGCAACTTGGATGGTGGAGATACATTTCCCTCCTGAAAAATCGGGCTGCCAGTGCTTAAATGAATACTGACATTTACTGAGAGTGACCCAATGTTTTGAAATAACTTTGTAGTTAGGATCATTTATTATGCTTCTTCAGAAATTTACTCATGTGTAAGGTTTGACTAGTTTTTGGTTTGTCTCCTTGTTTCCCATTCTCCCTAGAAAAAGCAGTTTATTTTTGAGCCAGTCTGCAAGGCTGCAATAGATGTTTTTATCCCTTAACTCCTAAGTTCTGTTTTATTGTAGATCTTGCATGTGGCTGTGTGAAGTTGAGCATTACGTTTATCAAACTCTTATCATGGCATAACTGGGAGCTCGGTTCATTGCATCCTATCAGAAAACTTCTGTCATTTAGGGTAAAAATATTTTAAGATTTCAGCGTTCAGATTTCTTATTGGAGATTGCATTACTGTCTATAAAAGTTACTCACTGCGGTTAAATTGGCTTTTATTTTACAATTAATGATGTGTAAATAAGTTCTCTCAGTAACTATCTAAGTCTGCTTCCAAGTGTACACAGTGTTTTGGTTTGTTCTGCCAAAAATACAGTTGTTCATCCAAAAAAATAATTTAAAAACACTTAGCTTGCTTCCATCTTCATTCCAGGTCAACTTTCTTTTTTCACTATCTCATGCTCCGTTGTCTGTTTTCCTCTTTTTCCCAATCCCTCTTCGTTTCAGTGCCATTCACAGTTTCCTGCTTTTCCTGGCTCCTTGGCAGCCTACCCAGCACTCTGATTCCTGCAATATTGCTGCTCTTTTCCACTTCTGTACCTTAAAAGGCATAACAGACTCAAGCACACCCTTGAGGTCTTTGTGTTTTGCCTATGAGTTTTTTGAGTTCATGTTCTTTGGTTTTTGGCCTTCCTGACCTTTGCTGTGTGCTCTGTAACATGTAGGTGCTGTGTAGATCGAGAGGGATAAATGTAAACAATGTGCAAGAGCTGGTAATAGGCATCTCAGCCAGAGAGAGAGAAAATAGTGATTCTTGGAAACCCAGATGAAAAGACAGGAAGCACAACAGATTAGGAATGGTCTTTGAAACAAAATGTACTGGCTGGAGAGAATTCAAGAGTTGATTTGAGGCTGAGTACATTTTTTTCATTGTCTTTTTTCTGTAATTTTGTAGTTTCCTACATCTTATTGCAAATCAGGTAGAAGAAAAAAGTGTGTGGTTGACTGGGTTTACAGCTTCAAGCGTTTACCCAGTTGACCAGAACCTTGATGAAAGCAGTGAGTAGTCCTTGGATGGAGGTGGGAACAGAGTCTGTTGGGTAAACCTGTGCCCCAGCCTTAGCAGAGATTGAGGTAGAATGTGTCAGATCGTTTGACTCCTGTTTTCTGAGCCCAACATGACGTACTTTTCAAAAGGATAATACATTTCCATATTTGTAGATTTAAGTTTAAAAAAAACTTTAATCTGAACTTCCTGTTTAACAGAACTTGAAAATTTTCAGTCACACTTTCACATAGGAATTAAATGTAGAAACAATTCTAGTGATGGCAGTTTTATCAAAGACCATTTCAAAGAGGAGCTGAAAAGCAACAAATGTTTTGAAACTGATATAAACAAATTCAGGATGGTGCTGTTGTTCAGCTCTTTGATTTGTCCCTGTTACAGCAATGGTTAAGTGAGGTAATTTTTCAAGCTTCCAGTTCTTTGTTTAGCAGTAAAGCTTGTGTTTACACCATCAGTGCTGTTTATATTCATGATGCAGATGAAGCATGTTAGTTTTCCATCAGATTTAAATTCTCAAAGAACACAGATTGAAAGGAAGCAGCCTTGTTCTAAACAATAAGGTCTGGTTGGGAGTAAGTTGTCACCTCGGAGCTGATCCAAAACCTTGTAATGTACTGAAACTGAATGAGCTTTAGATCAGACTCCTTATGAAAGACTTGGGAAAGAGCTGGGCTGAGTTGTCACCAGTGACTTCCATAACTCCATAATACTCCTTGATATAGATGTTCAATCCATTCTAGTGTCCGATAGACTTGACCTGAATTCAGCCTTATGAATAGACACAATTCAGCCCTATTAATAGACAAACTAACACACAGAACTCCTGTTAAAGATTTTTCATTGAAGCCTTTTATTCAGTAAAAACGTTTTCAGAGTCTATGTTCTCAAATTGACTTCTGTCATTAAAGCTGCATGTAATGGTCAGTAAGGACTGGCTTCAATATAGTATTTAAAAGGAAGGTGTGTGTAGACTATACAGGTTATTTATGCAGTTGTGTGCATGTGTTTGTATATATATATATTTTTAATGTTAAAACTAGAAATACACTATCATATATATATATGTCACATGTATATATATGTAGTTTATATAGTGTATGGATATATAGGCTTTTAGAGGGTGTGTTTTCAGGAGCCTGCAAGTAAGTTTTGTTTATGTTTGTGTAAAATATTTATACTTGTATTTATGGACAGTATAAACTCAAGTATTAATGTTTAGGGGTCCTCACTAGAGAGTATCCTGGCTGAGTAAAGTTTATATGAAATAAGTGGGTTACTGACAGCACCATGGATCATAGGAGCCTAACAGGGGGCTGAGAGCTTGTAAAGAGAAGCAGGAACTTGTAAAAAGCAGCACAATATAACAGAGCTTTGGAGAGCCACTAAATACCACTTGAGCACACTGGCTTTTCCTTTTAGCTTTAATGGTGCTGGTTTCACATGGATCCTTTGCAGTGTTGTAGGGAGGATTTGAGAGCAGCTCTGAGTCTCTGCAGCCTTCCCCATGTGACAGACTATTGGTTACAAATTCAACATGCAGCTGCTTTTTGCAAGTTAAATAAGGCAAGGCCTACTCTGTTTGGTGAAGTACATTTGTTCCACCCAAATGTGCAAAATATTTCAAGTCTGTTGGTGACACTGGAACATAATTTTTTTAGAGATGACACATGAAATTTCAAGTCCAAGAAATGCAACACTTTGTAGTTTCTAGAACTGGATTAAATACAGCACTTTCTAGTGATGATTTTTGTTTTTAAGATGGAGACTTTTTCATATTCAACATGTAATTTTTTTTTGTCTCTGCATTGAAGTGGTTTTGAATTTCATGTATTGTGTTATGTTTCTATGCTCTGGATTTGATCCATGAGTGTCTGGGATAAGCCTCTCATACTCAAATCTATAAGTGTTTTGAGATGCTCCAAGAAGAGAAGGCCTTGCTGTTTAGTTCTTAGCATGTTATGATTTATGTTTTTGTAAAAGTAAGCAAGATGCTCAGAGTTCCCAACTAATGAGATGTGTGTGTCACAGTGGTGACTGTGTGATGTTTGGCATGATGGCTAAAATAGTGTAGTACTGAAAGAAGGAGGAAAAAAAATGTAGATGGGAAAACATTTGGAAGGATTTAAAGTTTGGATAATCAGTACTCAGGATTTGTTAAATTCTTGGAACTAGAAATGTCTCCTACTACTTTGTCAACTGTTCCTAAGAGCCTTGGTGACCTGGCATGTTGTGAAAGCAGAGTAGTCATTTTGAGCTTGAAGAACAGCAGAAAGACCTGTCCAAGCTGCTGTGATGGGAAAAGCTGTCAGCTCATGGAATAGGGAATGACAAAGACTTTCAACAGTGAGCTCTAGCTTCAGCTGGAAGGAAGTCTGAAGGCACAGAAATCAGGCAGGTGAGCTCCATAATAATTTGGTAACAGAAAGAACCCAACTCATGTCCCGTGTTTCAGCTTTTGCCTCGGATCCTCTCTTCCCAGAGGGCACAGTTGCAGTGTGATGGAAGCAGGAATGGCTGTTGGAGGAGCACAGCTGACTCTGCTCATTTTCTGTCAGGTTTTTCCATTGCTTTTCCTTGCAAGAAATCATCAAAGAGCATGGTCTGACTGCCACATACTCAGGCTGGTCTGGAATTTCTGCCTTGCCTGCTATCTCGCTCACAAGTTTGATCTCCTTGTAATAAAATTGTTCTTGAATTTGTTAAAGATTAAATTCATTATGGAAAATGATGGAGAAAAAATCACATATTCTCCCTGATTTTCTCAATACATCCATCTCTTCTGTTAAATCATCAGTAAATTACTCATATGCACAGTTATTTTTTTCTAAAGATCATTTCATTTTCTGGAATTGTTGATATTTATGCTGCATGTCAGTTTCGTGTGTTATGTTTTACTCACTGAAAGACTTGTCAGACTTCCTTGTGTGCATTTAATATATGTAATGACTGAGAATATAATTTATGCAAATAATTCCAAAATACAGAATATTTCACTGTTTTTTTTAACTCTAAGTGGCATTATTGACATTCATGAATGCTGAATGTTTCTAACTGCAGATTTTCTGCTATTATTTTCTGCCTTTTTGGCATATTTCTATCACATGTCCAGTAGCAAAAAGCAGTAGCATAATTAAATTATCAAATTAATGTGATAAAACACACTTGCAGGGTATTACATTTTTAGCAGTGGATTTCCTTGCTAACTAGCCCATAATCCTAGGAGAGGCTCAGTCACTAAAAAGAAATTCTAAGAGATTTGTCACTTGCATTTGCTTGTTCCATATCCCATGTGATGGGTAAATAACTGCCTGTGGAAATGGCTAGTGTCAGCATTAAGCTATAGCTAGGAAATATTTTCCCTTTTATTGAACACATTCCCAGGCTTTTCAGTACTTTTCTGTCTCCTCCTAGTGCCAAGCCATAACCTAGATGGGCCCAAAAAATGTCTCATGATGGGTCCACACCAGTGCTCTTAGAGTCCAAATGCCAGTCTTGACTGGCTGAGTTAATAAAATATGCATGGTTATGAAATGAAAATCTGCTTCCCAAAGTGAATCACTCTGATACTAAAACACAAATGTCTGAGCCAGTTCAGCTGTGCTGTAACCCCTGCTGGATGCAGTCCTTAAAGCAGTGGCAGATCTGTACCCCCAAAATACACCCACCGTGGGCCTTTTCCAGTCTGGGAGGGGAGGCTCTGGCTGTCACAGAGCCTTAGGGTGTGTCCTTGCAACTTCTAAGCTTCAATTTCTGCTTATCTGACAGCTACACAGATGATGTTTTCTCCTGCAGCACAGGCATCCAGAACAACCCTTGGGAGGGGTGGGGGAAAAGAAATGATACAACACAGAGTAGGGGACATGGCTTGTTGGAGATAGACAGGATATCATAACTTGACCTTGAGGCTTGAAGCAACAAGTGCTGCAACTGAATTTGAGGAAATTTCCAGATCACTTGATTCTTGAACAACTTTATTTCAGCCTCTAGTGGGAGCAGAAATAACCTAAGGGCATTTTAGGTGGGCTTTCTGGTCCTAAGAGGGACTGTTTCTTGTGTAGGATATCTCAGGCTTGGTCCATGCCAGCTGTAATGTCAGTGGAGAAGCAAACCCAAAAACCATGCTGGGTTTTTATTAGTCCTGTGTAACAGCTCAAGGTAGCACATGCTGGTGAGTGCAGTCTTTCTGATTGGGAGCTGCTGGATGTAATCGCCAAAGGACTTGTTTGCACCATTAAAATCAAGGAGTTTTGTGTGTGTGTAATCATTTTATAAGATCTGAGCCTACAGCTGCTCTTTGAATTATGTTGTAGCTGCATTCTTGAAGGATGTGTAATTTGTAATTTTTTTTTGCAGTTCTTACTAGTAAATGCAAATTCTGCTCAAAGGAATCTGGTCTTTATCTGAGTTAAAACTGAAGTTCTCAGTCCAGAAACATTGTTGAAATAGCATAAATAATTTTGTGAAGTATTCAGTAATAAGTGCTTTTCTTTCATTTTTTATGGAGTTTGATTTTATTTTCTTTTAATTTTTTTCTTTATGTATTTTTAAACACTGTTGCAGATCCTGGGTTCCAGCAATTATAATCCTCTGTGTGCAAGACTCTGCTTTGCTGCAAGGGTTTTATAAAAATTACGTATGTTGATTATTTTTACTGACCTTGCATTACACTACGAAATGCTCATATGAGCAGAAATAATTCAGATGACAGAATCTGTGCATGTACCAGATTCAAAAGTCTGAACAAGAAATTTAGAACCTCTGCAGCACTTTTATGTGAAGTGTGTCATAGGAATCTCTTGAAGTCATTACAGCTGGCTTAGCTACTGCAGTGATTTGTGCGTGTTTTGTGTCTTGTAGAACCATTAGGATATTAGCTAGTGCATTGAAGGTGCAAGCACAGGGAAGTGTTTTGAAGAAGTAAAATCGTGCAATTTTCAGATAAAGAGGAAAATACTCTCAGCTGTCTGAAAAGTAAATTCCTATCAGCTGTGTGGAGTGTAGTGTCACAGTTTGGTAGCAGAATTCAAAACTGCTCCCTTCTCCACACCCCTTCTCTTCTCCCTCTCCTTACTCAAACACCATTGTTTTAGGTGCTGTTGTGTAGGTTGGATGCACTCTAGCATAATTTAATTTGTCAGGAGCTTCTGACTGTCTAATTATTTTTGCTTTTTTGATGCTCTCACAAGTTTGGGGTTTTCTCTGCAGCGTTTTTGCTTTCATGCAATTTCTGTTTCTCAGAGGATTTGGATTTTCCTGGATAATGTCAAATTTGGCATCTCAGTTAATACCAATTTATGTGACATCCAGTTTCCATCAGCGAGAGCTTATTTGGGCAAACAGTTCTGGTTTTGTGTGTGAAGTGACCAGTTTCAGTCTCTGTTGTTGAAGGGGTTTGTGATCACTGAATGTTTTCCGTTCAGGTACCCAGTGGTTTCATAGGGCAGTGAATGCCTGTACCACTGTGTGTGCTCAAGAGATACTGCTCTGTTACTCCATTCAAAGCTGAGTATGGGCTGCCTAATCATAAAATACTCACTGTTTGTGGGAGTGTTTGCTTGTGTGTGTGCAGATGCAGTCCAGTGGCACTTGTACTGGGGTCAGTATTGCAGAGCATTTCCTGGGGAATGAGGAGAGCTTTCCCTCTTTCTAAGAACACAAGTACAGATCACTTAGCTCTTCTGAAGCTGATCCCATCATGTTAGAATGGAGACTTCAGATGAAAAAGACTTACCAAGAGGCTGGGAGATACTTGGAAAAATAACCTTTAAAAAAACCCCTGAATCTGTATTTAATGCTTTTACTGTTTTTTGTACTTGAGAATATATGTATGAGATTAAGCTGAGATTCTGTGAAAGAAAAAAAAAAACCTGTTTTTTCTTTTCTTCCATTTTTGTGTAGGTACTAAATGAAGCAGTGGGTGCACTGATGTATCACACTATAACTTTAACTCGAGAAGACCTGGAGAAATTTAAAGCACTTCGAATAATTGTCCGAATTGGCAGTGGTTTTGATAATATTGACATCAAATCTGCTGGAGATTTAGGTATGGCTATTACAGACTTTATTTTGCAACTTCTACTTGCCTCCAGAAATCTGATAGCATCTAAATCTTTGTATTAATGTTTTCTGTGTATTTTATACTAGCATCATATGTAAGCTGTATAATTTTCCCATCAGAGTATAAAACTCATTATGGAGATACTGGCATTAGTTAATTAAGTGATAATATTAACAGCTTTGTGGCAGGATGACAATCTGCCTGCTCAATATAAACCCAAGGAGTAAGGCCATAATTTTTCATCTCTTTCTTTTTTACTCCAATTGTATATTTTAACTACTACTGCTATAATCTAATTACAAAATATAATTCCATCACTGTGGCATACTACTTCTGTTTGAATAAAAAATGAGATCTTTATCAACTGTCTGAGACTTATTTATGATGCATGAAATTTAGTACTAAACCAGTCCATAAAATAGAAATACCAATTTTACAGGAGAATCAGTTGTTGCTTCATCAGAATAAATTCAGCTACTGGAACTCCGAAGAGATGGTGCTTGATGTTTGACTGTAAGAAAAGCAACCATCTGATCTGTACTTTTCTTACTTTAGGTTAAACTATCTCCTACCTGTAATCTAAAGGTCAGCCTACCACTTGGAGTAAAGATTTTCTTTGTTTCTTTTCCAAGATTGTGGAGAACCAAGTATTTTTTCCCATTATGCTCTGGAAAGATCTTGGAAACATTTATTTCAGTGTGGCAGTGCTTAGTTCTAGCAATAGTCCCACTGATGCAGTGAGGGAGCTGTAGTGTGGTCTGTTTATCAGCTTACGATAAAAAAATACTCACCTGTTGTAATGGTGGCAGAGCCTTAACCATTCCTTGCTGAGTTTTATAAAGATCAGGTCAGGGCTTAAAGTGTGCAAGGTTGTGTTTTGCCTGCTTTAACTGGTGCCACAGTCAGACATGGGTTGTGAGCCTCAGAAAACCTGTGTGTGTGGAGAGATTGGCCTGGGGTAAAATCCTAGATCAAAAGCCAAAATGTAGGTGCAGATCAAAGGCTCAGACCAGTCAGGAGCCCAGTTTGTGGAGAAAATCCCTGATAAGAGGAAGATCTTTGAAGGTTTGCTGGCTGTCTCTTCTGCAGGTCTCTATGCTGTATTGTAACCCAAGTTACAAACTAAGTGCAGCCACGTAATTCTTCAAACTGGAATACACAGCAGATTTGGGAAATTCTTGTTCAAATGTTAAATGGCCACCTTCCTCAGCTTTCAGTTCCTGTCTTGTGATTAGACTGAGTTATAAAGTTGAGGGTCTGACCTGTTTGTGTATCCTTTAGTTTACAACATATTATTGTCCACTCTGTCAAAAGCCAGTAAATGGTGGAAAGGTTACAGTAAAATCTCTGATTTTAATATTAAGTTTGAGTGAAATGGCTGGAATGAAATACTGCTGAGACAAAGAGCCTTCCTTTTGTTGAACTGGTGTAAGTAACAGATATCTTAAGGAGGTAATGTGAGAGTGATCTGCTCTTTATAAAAGACTTTGATTTGCTTTTGAAATGTAGATTTAGACCAGAATCCAACTATTTCTGAACTTCTGTAGTAACTTATTTTTCATAGAGCTGGCACATGGGGCTGTTACCAGCTTTTTCTGTTAAGCATTATTTTATATTAGCTCTTTTAATCTTCTTCCAAAGCATGAAAATATGTGTCTCTTGGATAAAACATGCTTTTCCTGCACTTTATTGATAGTTGACTAGAAAACACATACAGGTTGTGGGTGTAGCTGGATGCAAGTGCAGTGGGAGCCCAGGTAATGCCTGTTGACTTCTGCATTTTTCAGCATTGAACCTGTGCACAAAATCACTGAAAGCAGTGGGAAAAGGGAAGGGAGCATTGATCAGTGGATATGAGATGAGAGTGTGCTGTCTTTTCCCATGTGAAATGTCTCTTCATTTCCTCGCCTCTCTCTTGCTGTTTTTTGTGGTTTGTTATGTCTCTGCCTTTCAAAAATGAGCTGCTTTTAGAGTTGAAGAAAAATTGGGAAAAATAAATTCCTGCCGTTCAGGAGAGGATTTATCTGACTTTTGTTCCCTCAGTTTCCTGAGGAAACCTATTAGGGAAGAAGGTATATTACTCCTCTTCCCAAATACGTAATATAATTCTTTAAGCTGCTTTTAAAGCATAATTTTGTTGATGGCAGCTATTAGGAGACACATTTATTTAATTTACGTTGCCATCTAAAACCTGCATTGTTCCTCCATGAAAAAGACTTTTTTGTATAAACAAATGCAAGTGTTTAATGTGAGGTTCTTGGAGAGGATGTTATTTTTCAGTCTTTCACCTCTCCCTCCCAGTCAAGCTTTTTTTCTCCATTTTAAAAATGGTGAATTTCTTTCTACCATTGATGTTAGCAGGATGCCAAGATTAATATTCCAGCAAATGATGCTGGTATATCTTCGTGTAAGTCTTAAGGGCAGTGACTCAGCAGACAGGCTTATCTCTACAGCAGAGGAAAGAAAAATAGTTCTGTAAGTTCTCTGTGCAGGTTTTTAGTAATGTAGAGAAAGCTGTAAAAAAGTACTGGGCAGCAGAATAAAGGCATTTGAATGTAAAACATAGATAAATATAGCATGAGCTTATTATTTCTCATATTACTGTTGATGCTGTTTTTGAAGAGAATGTTTATTCTTCTTCTTTGCTTCCTAAAATACTCTGGTATTAGCTGAGGACTTACTGAATATTTAGTTATGTAAAATCCCAAACAGTAAAAACAGTTCTTGGGTGTTTTTAGGATACAAAACACTTTATTTTTTCTTCTCCACCATGAAATTATACTGCGTGTTGTTTGTTGTCTCAGTCAGCAGAACTGAGACACAAACATTTGTGGGAGCTGGTGATTAGAGAGAGAACATGCAGTACATGGAAAGACTGAAGAGAGACAAGTCATAAAAGACACAAAATTTTTCAAGCATTTTGCTTAACTGCTCTGTACTGAGTACTGGAAGGTAAAAAGCAGAATGGGATAACTTGCATGTAATTACAATCACTTGTTGTCTTCATCCGTTTTTGAAGTAAAGTAGGCTTATTCTGAGTCTTGAATAATAATCCACCTTCCACAGTTTTCTGTAGAAGTCTGTAACACTTTCGGCTGCTTGATGTTATGCTATTTTCAGCTGGTGACTTTTCAGCTGTTAGGAACATGGACTTATTTGGCATTACCTTTGCATACCATGTAGAAGCAGATTTTGCATTTTCTATTGATGATTAGATGGGTTCCCTTTAATGTGGGGGACCAGGAAAGGCCTGGGATGTTGTTTGTTGTAATTCTAAAAACCCCTGAGCAATGTGTAACAGATTGTCCTTTCCTGTATCATGATTACTTACACATGATGTGAAATTACTAACAGTCATCCTGTGAAGGCTTCATAAGAGTTGCTGTCATTATAAATTATTTTATCCTTTTTGGAACTTGCACAGATAGCTTTTGGGAGGGTATTTGTCCAGTGTTGGAAAGCTAACTCACACAATTAAACCTAAACTCTGATCATAGACCACACTGTTGAAAGCAAGGCAGGTCTCTTGGTTATTCAAAGCACCAAGCTCAGTGGAAATGTAAAATGCTTGCAACGTTCTAAACTATCAGACATCTTCTGTGCTTTCCTTCTGTGGTTTCAGTGGCCTGTTTACTATCTGCCTTAGTTTGCAATAAATAAAAGCACGATAATTAGTAATAACAAATCAGAGAAATAAATGGGCACATACTTGTCAACTATTATGTCAGGTATTCTGCCTGCCATTACAGTCAGAAACTTAGTATTTGTGCAAGACACCTTGAAATAGGTGTGATTTTAAACATCATACTCCTGTATTGCTGTTAAATGGGAAAAAAAAAAAGTAAGCATTGTTTGGCAACTGGCATCCTCTCCCCGCTGCCTGCAGGGATCGCCGTGTGTAACGTGCCAGCCGCCTCCGTAGAAGAAACGGCAGATTCCACCATGTGCCACATCCTGAACCTGTACAGGAGAACCACCTGGCTGCACCAGGCCCTGCGCGAGGGCACCAGGGTACAGAGCGTGGAACAGATCCGGGAAGTGGCCTCGGGAGCTGCCCGCATCCGAGGGGAGACCTTGGGCATTATTGGATTAGGTACGTTGGCTTCGTACGTGGTTTCGTGCTCTTTGCTGCCCGCTGCTTAAAAAAAAGTGAAGATTTGAGCTGTAAAAATGGAACATTTGTTCACTCCCTGTCAAGCATTCATTCCTGATAATTATGTATTATGAAATGTTTTCCCTTTAAACATAATCATTTTCCTCAGAAAACTTGTTTTATTGCTAATGTTCTCTCAGTTCTTTGAGTTTCTGTATGTCTTTCTGTTGCCATATTGCCTGCTGTCAGGCACACTGCTTGTAAGAGGAGACATCATCATTTCCCTTTTCCAGGACAAGAATCCTGCTACCTCAGCCCAGTTACATGTGTATGTTTTATCCCTTATCCACTTTCATATCTGGTTTTGTTTGGACTTTTTTCCTTTTACAGTTTTTTATGTAACTAAAAAGTCTTTGCTTCAGTAACATCCTGCAGAGCAGTTATTGTGTGCATTTGATTGAACTGCATCTAAAATTGTATTTCAGTTCTAATGAGAGGAAGAATATATGCAAGAAATTTTGAAATGTTTCCAGACCTAATAAAATCACCTACTTACCTCTCTGAGTGACCCTAAATGTTTTTCAACATCCAACAGATGGACAGGCTTGCTGGAGATGAATTAATTACTGTCTGTTACGGAAGTAGAGAAGAAAAACAAGCAAGTCAGTTTCTATATAAAAATTATTCAGTCATGTGCTTGTCTTACACAGATCTGATAGACTGTGGATGTAATTGCTGTGCTATTCATCCACAGGAATTAGTAATATGATTTTGACAACAAAGCATCATATTTAAATGACTGCTCCAGTTACACATTGCTGTCAAGTATCTCCAGCCTCGAACTCTTACTTTTGGAAACTGAAAATAACCTAGTGTTACATAGTACTCATTTAAATGAGCATGCAGTACTCCAGAACCATCCTCACAATCAAAGAATTGCCTTGAAAATATGATTTTCAATAAGTTAGTCATGAAGCTGCTTTCTGAAGTCTATACTAATGTAATTATGCATCTCATATAAACACACAGTGATTATTGTGCTCACAGTCACAGCATCTCTACCCAAATCATAGACAGTTGCTTAAAATGTTTCCAGAATGGAAATGCATACCTGGTTTTTGAAACTTAAGCTTTGGCTCACATGCAGTGTGCACATTTGCTGGAGATACCTGTGCTGTTGTCATTCAGTTTGGTGTTTCTACTGAACAAATTCAGACTTGAGATTAGAAAGAAAAAGTCTTTCATCATTGACTTCCTTAAGTGAGTTTTGCTGGTTTTGTTCTCAATAACTGAAAAGTATAGAGGAATAAATGGGTAATCAGATTGCCAGTATGTTTATAAAGCTTTACAAAATGCTAGGTTTTGGTTTTAGTTTCAAAAAGCAAGTCTTTTGTGTGCATGTTACACTAAAAAGGCTAGTAAAATCTGATTTTTAAGGGCATGCTTCTGTTGCAGTTATTGACCAGTCATTATCTCTAGCCTTTTGTTGTTCCTGTCTATTTCCTATCATAGAATATTCAAAATTTCAAAGTATACTAAACTGTAAAGTCACTTTCGAAAACTTCTATTCTTCCTTCTTGAGCATGTGTGTGAATAGGCACAACACTTTGAGTCAGATGTGTTCTAACAAACTCCTATGAATCTATGTATTAATGAAGAGTAAAAATGTAGACCTAGAAGACCTACCAGAATTCCTGTGTGAGCACTTCAGGCACTTAGGCTGTTGTGCACCCTTTTCTGGTACAGATCACTGCAAGATGTTAGCTGTCTTGAGTTTCAGACTCAACCAAAGGCTGTTGTCCTTAGGTTGTGTTTCTTCACTAGTGGCCTCTCCCCACATTTGGAGTTTTGCCTCAGTTTATTATTTAGACATGTCCGTGTCAGAAGTGATGATCCACCCAGATGCTATGAAGTGAATGTATTACACATAAAATAAACAGTTATCATCTGTTGCTCAGCCCTTTCCTCTGTTTCTGTGTCGTGTCTCAGTTTCTGTCCCTTGTTGTCAGTGTGTCTGAGATCATCTCCTCTCAACTACAACTGTGTTTCTCTATTCTTGTCTTAAGACTTGTGGTCTTTTCAGCAGTGGGTTGCTTAAATTTATCACTGCTGCTGCAAGAGCTAACAGCAAACCTTCTTAACATCTGCTCCTGGGCTTTACTCTTTGCCAAAGAGAAACACCCTAGCTCGTGCCTATCTCTGTGCTAGGGAATGACTGTGTCTCCAAAGTTTCAGCTACTCACTTCCTTATCCACTGATCTAGCCAAGTTTCGTGACTCACTTGCCTTCTTTCCATCACCCACTCTCTTTCCCTCCTCTCATGCATATTCCTGCTTTGACACTTGGTCTGTCCTGCTTAATCCTATTACTCTGTGTTCCTCCTTTAAAGTTAACCCCATCTCTCATCCTCTGCTTGTATTGAGCTTGCAGATAAGCAGAGACTAACAGCATAATGCCTCCTTCATGTGCTTGTTGGATCCCATCCCTCATTGTTGTGTTGTTTGGTTAGCCCCTGAGCTCCTTGAGGCACAGCCCGTGCCTCTTTCTGTCTTTGTGAAATGTCTGATTCTTTGAGCCTTACATAAATAGTAATATCACATAATTGAACAGCTGTCTTTGTCACTTTTAATCTTTATTAGTATCTGGTGTCCTACATTTTAAGCGATGCATCACAAGTGTGGATAATAAGGCCTGCATTTAAAAAAGAAAAAAAAAAGCTACCTTTTCACCTTATATCTAGAAATATAGGGGTTTGTGGGTTTTTTTAAGGAGGAATATTTATGAGCAGCAGCACGTAAGTACTTGGATGAATAGACATCTGGCCCTGGTTCTGCTCTAATGACAGTTTTACAGCAGTGAAGTCACACTCCCTTTCCCTTCCTTCTCAGTGAGAATTGCTGATGTCTAATGACTAATGCATTTCCTCACCCAAGAAAGGTGAAATTCTTTTAAATAAATTTGTCTCCACATCACAGTGAATGTCATCACTCAGTTTGTCTTTCCTCACCTGCTCTGTTCTCTCAGTAGTCCCACTGTCATACCTAGATGCTTGGCCAAATTATTAACCTGTGCTATAACTAAATAAGGCTTAAGAGCTGGGTGGTATTATTCTGCAGTAAATGATCTACTCTTAGCAGTCCTACTGGCTCTCTTAATGTGCTCAGCAGGAAGTGTAACAGAACAGCACTCTCCACATTTCTGAGTTCTCCAAGAAGGAGGAAAAATTACTGATATTCTCCACTGCTGTTGCATAGCAGGGAAGAACTGCTAAGTGAAAGCACTTTTTCTTTCCATGGAAGTCTTCAGGCAGGTCATCATCATCATTTCCATGGTATCAAGGTCATTTTATAAAACTTTGCAATACCAGCATAGGATGAGTGTGCACTGCCCAAGGGCTGAGCAAGGTCCTTGACCTGCAGCTGCTGTACTGTCACACTCAGATCAGGGCATTGGCAGGGTCAAGGTCTATAAAGGTCCCTATAAATTGGGACATTTGGGTTGAGGGGAGTTGGGAGGACTTGCAGGGGAGTTGAATGGATGAGGCTGTAACAGGAGATGGGTGTTTGAGCCTGTCTTCTGAAATGATGAATGGACCTTCCTAGAACTTTAATTCCTTTGAAAATACATTTTTGTCGCTTTCTGCTTTTTTTGCAATTGTATACGACATTCATTTTCTGCATTTTTCCCACACTACTGACTAATAAATTAATTTTGGGTTTTGAGCTTAAGATTTTGCCCTCCCTGGAAGCAGCCATGACTATTCATAACAATTTGATATGCTCTTAACATAGCGTTGTCCCAAAGGTGGAATACTTTGTGTTCTGTATTGTCCTCAGTGTGTTGAGGTAGGTTTTGAACCACCCTTCATGCCCAGGAGAGTCTTATATAATAAAAGGTTTTCAGGAAAGGAAAAAAGAAGGTCATAGTTTCGTGGTTGTTCCTTATGTCAGATGGTAATTTAAAAAGAATTGGCAAATTCCTCGTGTCCAGTTGTGTACTTGTTTAATGACTAAATAAGAATTGTCAATTGCAGAAGAGTTTTATCCCATAAAATATTTGTAATAGGATAATTCTGGTTAGAAATAGAGATGTAATTCCCTAGTGTTTTTAAAGGAAACTTCTGTGCCCATTGAAAAAGGCTTTGGTTTATTAGCTTGGGTGGGGGTGAATGAAGTGTAGCTTTAACTGGAGAGGCTGTTGTAAGAGATTTTGCTGTTGTGAATCCCCTCAGGTATTAGTGTTGTAAAAAGTGTAAAAAAAAAAAGAACAGATGACAGAATGTTGCATGTGAAAATGAATGGAGCTGGAGTAACAGTTATATGGTTTGTTAAAAAAAAAATATTTACAGTTGTGTGACTGATTTCTTGAGCTGTGAACATGCCAAAATTTGGAAACAATACAGTGTTTGTGTTGAAAATTTTCTAATTCAAATTTATAAAAACAGCTTGGAAAGCAAACAAATAACATGAATGCAAGTGTTGAAATGAAAGATTTTGAGAAGTATTCTAACCTGGTGTCCCCAAAGAGAAGCAGACAGCCCCTGTCAGATTGATTTACTATTTAATATTCTGAGCACATCTGTCAATAAGCACTGCAGAATTGCTGTGTTCACATTAAGTGATCAGCAAAAACCTTTCTTCCTGTGGCTTCTGAAGTATATTCAAAAAGAAACTGAAAAGCAGAGGGAAATCCCTTCAAGCACAGTGGGAAAGAGATGGGATTTCCCTGGGTTGATTTGATGCTTTTTTGAACAAACTTAGACCTTACAAAAGAAAACTTTTTGACTTTTTTGGTTTGGTTTTTTTCAAATTAGGCATTGTTATTATGATGTGTCAAGTGATGCTTTTGAAACATCTTTATATCCAGTATTTGTAGTTCTCTAATGTGAATATCTGCTCTGTAAGCTTCTAACTTGAAAAGTGTGTTAGTTCTCAGTCCTCAAAATGCCTGTAACTCATTAGATGTACTCAGAGGTTTTTTCCTCTCTGTTTTACTGGTAATGTGTCAAAGGGAGTACACGCCTCCTGGTACATGTGGTGTGGAGTCATGCCCATACAGCACTTCTGGGCACAGCTCTGAAATATGACAGTAAGGGAAGTGGAACAAAAAAGCAAAGTTCAGTGTCAGTTCCAAGTGGGACTGCAGTCCTTTTAACTAGATGCCATGTGATCATCTGTGTTTATTTATCATTCAGGTAGCTGAATAAAATTTATTTTAACGCCTTAGATGATGGATTCTTGTAGGCATTTTAATGCTGGAAGGATGTTACTCAAAATGAAAGAAAATACCAGAAAGGAGATTCCATTTATTGAAAATGGTTGTGCTTCAGATTAAACAAATTATCTGTTATTGCATCCATTTTTGAGGATTAATTTTATAGCTTTTTATTAAAGCCAGCTGGTTTGACATGGGTAAGGATAAGCCCTTGGCAGGATGTGTTCACAGGCAGTGGTGTTTTGCCATAAACAGGCCCAGCAGGCAAGCCTTGCGTTACACAGATTATTGCAGATTACGTGACATCTTCTGGCATTTCACATATCTGGTGACAAAAGGTGCAAACCTCCTGCTTTGTTTCAAGGCAGTGTGAAACAGTCCAGATGTACCATTTCTGATCCCAGTGATGATTCTGAGTGGGATGGGAGGCACCTCCCTTTTCTGCCCTTGCAGTTGCTGCACGAAGCGTTACCGTCTGATACAAGCATTCCCATTGGGCAGGAGGAGGCCACCTTACACCCACCAGCTGCTTCACATCTGCTCTCATGGTGTGTTTATCTTGTTCTAGGGCGTGTTGGGCAAGCAGTAGCTCTACGTGCCAAAGCCTTTGGCTTCAGTGTGATTTTCTATGACCCATACCTCTCGGATGGCATGGAGCGTGCTCTGGGACTGCAGCGGGTGAGCACTTTGCAGGACCTGCTGTTCCACAGTGACTGTGTTACCCTGCACTGCAACTTGAATGAACACAATCATCATCTTATCAATGACTTCACCATAAAGCAGGTAATAATCTCTGTGGGTGCCCTCCACACCAGTGCTGGTTGCCAGCTCTGTATAGCATTTATTTCTGTAAATTGGTAGATTCTCATTTGATAGAAATCTTTCTCTTCTGCTGCTCTAAGATCAAACAGGTCTATGATTGATTAGGAACTAGCTGGTTGTTTATGTATTGTTGCTTTTTACTGTCTTTTTGGCTCAGGAACATTGCATTTGTGGAAATAATTCACTCTTCTTAATATCACTCAGATTTAATGAAGTGGCATTGATGTAAAAGCACTTTTTCTGTGTCTTGTAGTAGCTTCTTCCTTTGCATGTGTATTTTCAGGTAGCAATTCTGTCTTTCACTGTTGTCCCTCAGTTTGAGTTCCTTTGATGCAATTTAAGGATTATGACTAAATGGCTCCCCCCTGTGCTCAGTCCCGATGCTCACAGAGCACTTCAAGGATGGAGCTGATTTACAGCATTGCATTATTGGGAAAAATAATGTTTCTTGGAATTAGTACTAACTTCTCCATAAAGTTGTAGGTAATGCACAAAATAATAAAATAATTTCAAAATCTGGGTGTAGTAACTGCTCCATTGTTGAAAAATATGATAATAGAAGCCAGACACTTAATGGAAAAGTTTGACTCCAGCTTTAGTGTAGGTAACAGCCAGAAGTAAAACACTGAGACATAAAAATGGAGGCAATGTGGAGGAAAGGAGCCCTAAGATAGAATAGTTTATTTGGCTGTTCTTTACAAATATATGTATATATAGGGGGTTTATATGTTGGTAACAATTACAGTAGCACTCTTTTGCAGTAAAATCACTGCTTGTCTTCTGAGAAATATTTTGTACCTACTACTCTAGAACTGAAGAACTTACTGAACACGTTCCACAGTCATGTAGGATCATGGCAGAAAACTGACAGTACGACACAATTATTGATTTGAGTTTAAGGATTTTGCAAATCCATCACAACATAAAATCAGGATTTGGGATTTAAAACTCTAAAAAATTAAGAAGCTTAAAATGAAACCAAAGAGACCAGAGCTCTGTCACCCTGCCTTGAATATTGTCTTCCGTTGTATGGCTGGGTACATTCAGTGGTTATTACATGGTGAGATGTCTCTTCAAGCAGACATCTAGACCCAAAAAGCATCACATTGAATTCCATGGGACCACGGAGCCTTGGTCACTTTATTATGCAGCAGTTGTGAAGCTGGGGCCAGTTTACCACAGGAAGTTTTTGAGTGGAGACAGAGAAATGTGTTGAGCTTTGGAGAAGGCACAGCACATTAATCAGAGAAACAAACTAAGAAAAACATGTTAAAACAGAGTAATACCATCTGAAACTAAATGCCTGTAATAAACTCTGCACTGGAAAGTGTCTTAAGTAAGCATTTATCTTCCTATTTGTTATCCTTCATGATCAAAGTAAGGATTAATTAAAGTGTTAGATGATAGTTCTTGCTTTGGGTAGGAGTTTGGGTGAAGCACTCTGGATAGTAAAGTGGATGTGAAACCCATGAAATTGTAACCCCTCTGACTGCACAGTTTGTGTAGAGCATATTCTGATTTAGGCTGACAGATGTTGGAGTTGGCCTAGAATTTCTGGAGAGCATTGCATACCATTTTTGACCAATTCTGCATGCTCATGTCATAACCAGTTTTTAAACAAAGTACAGAGAAGTATGCTGTATCTCATTTCACTGGAGTCTCACCCTGAAATTTGTGGAGTCTGAAATGACTTCAAGTGTCTTTGAAAATTTGGTGTCTGTCTTCTTTTAAGTAACTTTTTTAGTGAATTAATCATTATTCTGTAAAGCCATCCTCCTTGTCCTTGTAGTCCCAGAGTAGCTCAGAGAAGTGTTTCAATGAACTTGTGCTCTTGAGACTGAGGTCATCTTTAGTTATACAGATTTGAGAAAAAACTGCAGTTTAAACACAATACTTTTATAAAGCAGCTCTGCAGGTTTAGTGTAGGTGAATTTAACAGATGTCAGCAGTTCAGCTGTGAAGCTCTTTCAAGCTTCCACCCATTGTTAAAGATCATCTCCAGCTGCATCCACCCTGACAGTTTATCATGAGTCACATAATTCATTCCCTCTAGAATGCATTTATGCAGGCATGTTCTGTTTGATTTGAATGTGTCTTAGTGTTAGTTCTGGAGTTTTGTAAATAGTCCTAAAATGAAAACTCAAGCAAGATTGGACAGAAGATTTTAGCAGGGTTCACTTTAAGTAAAATGTTCATGTCCTTCAGAGGGCCTGCAAATACACCAGGCTGTACTTACAACTCAAGTTACCAGTTTGCACAGAAGGGGGAAGGGTATTTGAGCTCCCACGAGCCTTTATGGTGTGTCTGCACAGCTGTGAGTGGCTCTGGGGTGAGCCCACCTGTGCTGGTTTTGGTTCAGTTCCTACAACTGACCCATGAACTGGAGATGTAGTGATTGTTCCCATAAGGAATCTCTTCTTGTTACCAGACCAGCTTAAGATCCTGCCCCAGTTTCTTTGCTGTTCTGATTCCAAATTAACTACGTGAAGCTGAGAGAAGCATCCTTTAGTTCTGCTCCTGTAAGTGGAGTTTGGTTCTGCTGTATGAATGGATCTCCTGTAGGCCCAGGAGTCTGCAAATGGAGAGAGACAGGGCCACATTAAACCTAGAGAGTTGGCAGTTGGCCATTAAAATAATGGTGTGTTTTTTTCTTTAGAAAACACTGCAAGCATGTGCATATAGTATTCCATATGACCTCATTAGAAAAAAGCAACCAAAACTGACGTATTCAGACCTCCTTGTTGTTGATGAACTTGGCATTTTGAATCAGTATTTGAGCATAAAAATCTATTTACCTAAGGTTTAGTTTGATGTGTAGGTTTCATGAAGCTGAGTTGGTGTAAAAATGTTGGGTTTTGCTTATTTGTATGTTGAGAGACAGAGTCAGTACAAAATGAGATTTTCATAATTCATCTTCACCATGGTTCCTGCTCTGCATTCACTTTCCTTCATGCACACAGAGGTGTTTGAGACATCTGTCAAAGATTAAATACCAGGGTGGCTGGAAGCAGGATGTTGTAATTTATGTTTATTTCAGTACCATTTCTCTTATTTAAACTGCCACTTTGTTTTCAAGTTGTGGATGTATTATGGTGTAAATTGTTGTCGTTCTCCCCATACTGATTTTATGTCATCTACAATGCTAATCTGCACAATGCACAGCACAGCTTCTCTCCTGGGCACACAGCGTTCTCAACCAAATTCATTTTCATGCCTTTTAATTGAATAATAGAAGGATTCTTTAGACCTTTATTTGAAAAGTCTCACAGGGGAGGAGGAAGCTGAAGTAACAAAAATAAATAATGCATGTATCTACTGTGTTTTGGCAACTAAAGGGAAAAGTGTTTGAAAATCCAAAGGCATTGATTTTTCTGAAAAATTCATGTAGGCTTTTATTTGTGTGAAAGTTGAAAGCCACAAAATATGAATTTGTTTAAGAATGTGCTGTAGTTTCTGTCTCATGCAATTTCACAGTGAAATAAAAAGGCATAAAATGATCTGTCACTTTCATATGCACAGTTGTATCTTTTGATCATGGTACTGCACAATATCTGAAACAGTGCTTCTATTAAAAGACACTACTTACAAGAAACAAAAGGTTATTAAGTGCTGTGAAATAGCATTTTATGTTAGAAGCATCACATTTGGTGGTACTTTCCAATGGAAAGGGAAGACAACTGTTACAGTTTAAACCAGCTGAATAGCCTTTGTTGTAATGGATGCTTCTTTTGAGTAAAAAATAATGCCACAACGATTTTATTTCATTTATTTTTATTTCATCATTCTTGTTTTTAACTTTCCCTAGATGAGACAAGGGGCTTTCCTGGTCAACACAGCTCGAGGTGGGTTAGTAGACGAAAAAGCACTTGCACAGGCCCTGAAGGAAGGAAGGATACGAGGGGCAGCCTTAGATGTACATGAGTCAGAACCATTCAGGTGCTTTTCCTTTTCTTTTCTTTTTATTTTGTTCACTTTCTTATTTTTAAGTCTTAGTGCATGATACAATCAACAGCAACAAGTAAATTGAGTTTTCTGTTCATTTGGTAGCTAAATACTCCTTAGCAAAGCAACATGAATCTGTGCAGCACTGGACTAATGCGAATGTAGATGGAGTTTGTGTATGTGGTTAGAAGTGAAAAAAGTGACGTCCAAGATTTAATTCCTTGAAAAGAAATAGAAAACAAAAACTGGGTTTATTTAATAGAAATAGCAGAAACCTGAGTTCAAATCCTGGCCACGGCTTTGGCCATGGCTTTGAGGAGAGTGCACCTTTGCCACTGATGCAGCCCTGGAGCCAGTTCATGCCTGAACAGGATCTTTCAAAGGCAAAGAACTGAGATGTGGTGTGAGAAGTGCTTTATGACACCTTTCTGAAGCAAAAAGATATTTGTCCAGATTGCCTCTGCAGGAAATGTGTGTAAGAGGTTGCAAAAAAAGTTTCAGGAAGGCTGTCGGAGTGCAGGTTTTGTTTTGTTTTCCCCTTTATAAGGGGAGTAGTAACTCTACTGTCAGTAGCAGGGCTGGTAGCACAAGCCTGAGTTTTTGAATTACTAAGTCCAGTGGTTCAGGCAGAAATGCACCACTCCCCTAAGTGGCATTGGCATTGAGATATCAGCACTCCTCATCAAAATGAGCCTATTTCAGATGTCCTTGAGGCTTCAGAACAGACTGCTGTAGCTTAGTCCTTGCATGTGACAAGCCTTTTTCAGGCTGGGCAGGGAAAATTGTTATTTTTAACTGGAACAATCTACATAAGTTTTTGAAGAAGAACAGATTCAGGGCAGGTTTTAAAGACTGGAGAGAGGACAGTATCTCTCATTCCAGCTTGAGGGGGAAATAGAACCTTTGAAAAAATAGAATAATATCCTTTTAGTCAGAATTTTTATACCTACTGAGGCATGATGTCACATCACAAATAATTAATTTTATTTATGCATACCCTGGATTCATTTACTCCTAAAGGTAGTCATTACAATGCAGTAGTGCTGTGCAAAGCCAGTGTAGCAGCTCAGGGGACTTGCAGCTCCATACATTTTTCCAAATTCCTGTCTGGGATCTGCACAAGCAGCCCACTGCACATCTAGGAAGCCCCATTTAGTGCATGGAGATGCCATGTGCAGAGATTCAGCTGCAGGATTACAGCCACAGTTTCCTTTGGCTGCAGTGCTGCATGTCTATCTCATTGCAGCATGCAGCTCTTTAGGCAAGAGTTTTGCCAGATATTTTGGTGTTTGTTGAACTACAGATGAAATCTATCATTTTATGAATTATGATCAACTCTGAAAGCACGCTTTTGTCTTAAAATATTTGCTCTCCTGTTACAGTTGACTGCAAGATTATTAAAACTGGAAATGAATAGGAGGAGCAAGTTTCCATTATTATTATTATTTTTAGTTTCTCTACTTCGTATCTGTGATAACGCTTCTACACAGATTCATTGCTTTCCCTAAAAAACAATCTGTAAATTTCCTTCTTTCTGTGGAGTTTCTGTAAAGGGATGGGAAAGAAAAAATAGTTAAAAATAAAATTTAAAATCCTGAATTATCCAGAAGGCATTGAGGCTGATGATGGACACACTTCTGATTTGGAAATAATTGTAAGATATTTTTTTTCTTTAAATGATTATATGTCATACTGACAGAAAGAGCTTTTTTAATTAATGCAATAAAAGTGAAATTGTGCTGACCTAGACAAATGGAATGGCATCCTAAATTAATTTGGGTTTTCCTTTATGCATTTCTGCCCCAGAACTGGAGTGGCAGTGACTGTAGTTACAGTAAGTGCATTGGACAGAAGCTAATGTTGCTGCTATACTTAAGTTCCACCCTTTGAGTCTATAAAAAGTGATTGTTGCTTATTTATACCCTAAATAGTACATTAAATTAACAGAATTATAAACAAACTCAGTAAGAAATAGAAATGCAATTCTTTTGCCTTGTAGAAATTAATCTGTGTATGTACAAATCCATCTGGATTCGCCACCTTGCTTTTCCCCTTGCCCCCAATATTTTTTTGTCATTTGATCTTGTTTTAAATTTTCATTTAGCTTTAGTCAGGGCCCCTTGAAGGATGCACCAAACCTGATCTGTACCCCACATGCAGCCTGGTATAGTGAGCAAGCCTCAATTGAGATGCGGGAGGAAGCAGCACGAGAGATCCGAAGGGCGATCACAGGTACTGACTCACGTTGTTGTTATTATTAGCTCCTTCACTGTGCAGTTCTTTTTAAGAAACCTATGTCTCCAGTCTTGAAAGATGCCTGAAAGAAGCAGCCTTGGGTTTTGTTTCTAATATTTGGAGCACAGAAATCAGCAAATGCTAAGTCTGTTCTCAGAATTGGAACAAGTAATTTTGGAGGTTCTTTGCAATTACAAAGAGAAGGCAGGCATTGCAGAATAAGTACTTTTTGCATGTAAAGGAAATGTATTTATGTGTGAAAAATCATCTACTTTTTTCTTTGTTGCATATAACTATTACCCATTGGTGGATTTGACTTCAAGTCCTCCTGGTATTGGTGGTATCTTCCTTAGCTTTTCCTAGGTGCTCCTTTATACTTGTCATGAGCAGTTCTCTATGTAAAGTTTTCAGCATTTTGTTGGGAGGTTATTCTATTTTAGATGTTCCCCTCTTTAAAGCCTTGCTAAAGAAGTCTGGCATTTTAAAGGACAGAGTGTCTTTGTTATATAACTGCCATGTAATTGTAAACTGCTCACATAAGAGAAAACAGCTACGTCTCGAACATGCACTGCTAATAAATAAAATGAGAGGACTGAGCCATTTGGCATGGGTTTGAATCCCTTGTAGCCTAAAATAAAAGGGAGGATTTTCATACTGGAAAATGATTCATTAAGCACTAATGTTTTCCCTTTAGCTGGACTTTGCTGTGTCCCCCTTGGCGATACCGTCTGAATGCTCTGCAGACATGCAGGGCCGTCTGTGTCACCTTGAGAGTAGTTCAGTGCCAGCACATTGCTCTGTTACACAAAAAGCACTGGCAGTAGCCTTCCCTCTGCCTTGTGCCTAGAGAGGCCAAGCAATTTAGTTTCATTTATAGCCTGTGCAGAAAGAAGATTCTCTTCTGGATGCTAATTAAAGACACCTCTTAAACTCCTGAGCTGAATTGTCCTTTACTGGATAATTTCACTCTGTTTTAGAGGTGACCTGAAGAGCCTGACCATCCTTTTCTTGGAATTGGTCCTTGTGGCTGTAGTCCAGAACTCCAGTGGTACATTTGTTTGTTTGTCAGGGTGTTCAGTGACTGTTGCCTGCTCCCAGATAGCTCCGGGAGAGATTGCACAAACCAGTACCTGCATGGGGGAGGATTGATGTGCAAATCAACATCAGTAGGCTATTGTCTGAAAATAAAGAAGAGCCAGCTATCCAGAGCTAGTTTTATGTCAAATTTGTGCAGTAGCCCAAGCATATGTGCTTAGGAAGGCAGACCTGCAGTTCCTTCAAGTGTGTGATGGTGCTCTCAGCGATCTGGATCGTTGATTTGTATCGAAGCTGTCAGCACTTCAGTGTTTGCATATGGTTTTTAGTAAGATCAAACTGAGACCAGCATTAAGGAGGTGAGAATGACATTGAATTGCAGTGAAACAAATGTAGGAAAGATACAGGAAATGTGGGGTAAAGCTGGATATATGAAAACCATAGGGGAGCACAAAGAAGAGAGGGCATAGAGAGGGAGAATAATTGGAAAAAGGTGTGAAATGTAGGAATGAAGGCTGTGACTACCATCTGACAATAAAAATGTTAAGTGTTTCTGCTGTTGCTTAAAAGTCAATGGTGTTGTGATGTGTAAAACAGAAATAATCAGCAGAGATTAAATACCTTGAAATATATTTCTAAACTTGAAAGCATTCCAAGTGTGAAGTAAGGAGGACCACTGGAATGGATGTAAGAGATAGGCAAGCATGGCAAGTGAAAAGATCGTTAGAAGTTTAAAATAAAAAAACCCTGGATTTTGAGGGGAGAGTAGTAGAACATGCCTATAGAAGTTAGCAAAATGAAGAATGAGGTGGGCAAAGAGGAAGACAGGATTGAGAAGAATGAACATCAGAAGAAGAAAGATACTGTTTAAATTTGTGGACAGTTCTGGCAGAAGTTTAGATGGATGTGTATTTCAGCTACAATTTGAAGATGATTTCTAGATGGTTGGAATTCACCTGTAATGGGGCATGTACCTCACCTTGTTCAGTTCTGAGCTAAAAGCCCTTTCAGCTTGTGCACAGGAGATGTGATGGATTCAGGGACATCAGCTGAAGTTATGGAGTAACACCTATTTGATGGTATTCATTGCATGAAAAGCAGTTCTGTGAAAAGGTTTTTTACAGCCCCATGGTGGCCAGGCTGATGGATGGAAAGAGCAGGCAGAGATAGTGAAGTCCTTAATCAAATTTCCAGTAGGAAGCTGGAGACAGAAGGCTGAGTTCTTTAATGATGAAGCATGGTCAGTTTTTGAAAGGGTTTCTGGGATTCCACTGCCAGCAGTGGCAGGGGTGGACTCAGAATTACCTCTTTCTGCCCCTCTGTGCAAATGCACTGTAAGATGGAACTTCAGTGAAGACACATTAAAACAGATGTCAGAAACGACACAGGCTCCAGTTGATCTCTCTCCTGTTAAAATAGGTGGAAACATTCCTATTGCTATGAAGGAAATCTGTGTTGGATCTGCTCATGTCATTTGTAGCAGGGCTGAAGATAGTTCTGCAGAAGACAGTCACAGGCTTGTCCAGTGTGTGCTGAATCAGGCTGACAGATTTTCCAGTCTTAAAACTTCAGCTGTACTTCAGAGGTTAAGGAAAGGTTTTGAAGAAGTGAAGAGAGGAAATTTTGGTGTATTTTCATTTTATGTAGGAATGAAAGGCATGGCTGAGGATTAATACATTGCAGTAAATGAAAGTGAAGAGCAATTTAGATGAAGAAGGGAAAGTTCAGAGAACAGGGAATAAGAGTTGGTCGTATTCAGGTTAATGGCACAATTCCATTCAGAATTCTGAATTGAGTGCTTTTAATTGCTGTTACAGGTGGAAAGAAAAGGAGGAAAGTGATGTTAAGGACAGAAAGCAGGGGGCTAGATTACTGAATATGATTGGTAGCTATGCTCTATATCCAAGTTACAGCTTCTTGGAAAGATAACTCTTACTGATTTTGGTTCTACTGAGACCCTGTATACAATAGATGAAGAGAGACAGGAAAATCAAAATTAAGCAGAGCATTTCAGCCATTATTACCTAAGTCCCAGGCAAAAGGCTACAGCAAGAATCAGAAACAAGCTCTTAGTGTCATTTTATGTATTGATTTAAATACACAAATATTTCTAAGTATTTTTAACATAGACATACTAAGAGTATAAGGCACACAATTTTTATACATTTTTATTTATTTTTCCTTGCTTCATCTTAGGTCGTATTCCAGACAGTCTGAAAAACTGTGTTAACAAAGATCACTTGACTGCAGCTACACATTGGGCCAGTATGGACCCTGGAGTTGTTCATCCAGAGCTTAATGGTGCTGCATACAGGTAAGTGTGCTGAAGAGGTAGAAGAAATACCTCCATAATTCAGTGTAGGTATTCAGGAATAGATAAAAGACCTTCCTATTAATGATTGAAGTGCTTTTGCATTGCACACCAGCTATATTGGTTTTGTAATCGTTGTGTTCAGGAGAATAATCTTGTTTTGCTAGTTGATGTCAGTCATGCTGTGTCTGACTATAAATCCTCTTACAGTCTTTTTTTCCTTGGGTTAGTATGTGAGCAATATGTATTTGTATATTCAAGTAAAACAGTTCTGGTCTTCTCCAGTGTTGCAGTGGAAGTGTTACATTCCTTTTCTGAAGGTAATGATGCATCGGTAGGTTACAGAAAGACTTTCAGTAATAAACTTACATTGTTTTGTGGCCTACAGACACAAGAGAGAACAAGTAACTCAATATTGAAAACAGTGCAACAGCCTGTGGTGATTATGAAAATACGTTTAAAATAGCTTTTTCTAAATTATATGTTTAATTTTTAAGCAGAAGCATTTGAGAGACTTGATCGATGTATTCTCAGTCAACTGTGAAAGCAGGTCTTAATAATTAATAGAAGGGGGCAATTTTTTACATGCACAGTCCTTAGTTATTTTGTTTGCTCCAGGGCCTTTTTCTGTCCCTTTACCCCTAGCAGCTCTTCTAGCAGCAGATTCTTATTAGTAGCCATCTTCAGACAATTTTTCTTTATGAAAAACACCTGCAGTTTTTGTATTTTCCAATATGCTATTTACACATAAGTAGGATGAAAGTGGCAGAAAGCTCCAAATGCCAGCTTAACTCAATGCCTTGAGGAAAGGGGCAGTGCAGTCCTCTCACTCTTTTGTCATACCTCATTATCCTAATCCTCATCCTTCCACTGTCCTTGCTCATGCATCTGCTTTACCTTTGTTGTTCTTCAGGAGGACTCCCCATACTTTTAGTAGAGGGGGGATTCCTGATTTTGTGTTACTCCACATGGGAGCCCAGCTGTGCCCTCCTGAGAAGTGAAGCAAAGTTATCCTGTCCCAGTGACTTGGAACAATCTCATCAGAAAGGGATGGAGGGGTGTCAGGGATGAGTGTCACCACCCTCTGCCACATCAGGAGCCATAAGTGCACCAAGGGAAAGGAATAACTTGGATTTGGTGATCACAGCACTTGAGGATGTTTATTTTTGGAAGTATGCCAATAGCCCTAAATATCTAAGAAGGGTGTTTTTATTTGCTTAAATGAGAAGCTCAAGCACACGTGTTCACACAGCATCTGGTTTCTTGGACTTCAGTTTGGAGTAGTGAGGGTATGGCTGAATGTAATTGGGGCTTAAAGGCAGGTGTTGCTGGACAGGAGGTAATAACTCCAGCCCTGTCATGGCAGTTAAGAACAGGGGTCTGTGCCCAAATAAAATGCAGCTTTTTGTTCTCGTTTTGGGGGTCACAAGTCCAGCAGAAGCAGGCTTTGCAGCCAGAAATTAATTTTAACTTAGGAATGTTTGGGGGAGTTAATGATTTACAAGGTAAAGACCATATGTATTCAATTTAAGCAGGATAAACACAGAACTGAGTGGCTTTTTAAGACATTGTTTCAGTCCATTTTTTTGATAAAGAAAATTTATTGTAAAATTATGATCTAATTATTTTCAAATGCAAAATGGAACTAATTTCAGGAATTTTGAGGCAGGAGTTAATAGTTATACAATAAATGCTAAAAGCTTTTTGGAGGGGCAATAAAATAGTATTTGAATGTGGGTAAAGGCAGTTACTACTGTGTGAAGTGCAAAATCTGCATCACTTGAAGCTCAGGTTTTATGAAGAAATTGGTTTCATTAGCAGTGTTTGCTGATGCTTAATTCCTACCTGGATTAAGTACAGCATTTGAACTGATGGTTCAAACCAAGTTTTTCCATATTTTCTTTGCGATCCAAGATGATGTTGAGCTAAGTGAGTTCTGGAGTCTTTCACAGACAGTCCAATGTTTCAGATGTGCTCATAACTGTATCACACTCAAGTAATTGCATTAGAAGATAAGACCTAGGATAATAATTGATATGTTAAAAAATGCAGATACCTCTTTTGGTAAATTAAAACTAACGAGGCTGTTTTATTTTGGATATATAATTCACTTGTATTTTGATGTAGAACAGAAATCTCAAATTATCAGATGTTATCATAAGCCCAGAACATTCAGCATTAGTCAGCAGATTGTAATCTAGATCATCTGAATATCATCATATTCTGGGGCACACAAAACCATTGACTGTGTGAAATGTAAGACACCCTATCAGCACTAAAGGTCGTGCAAACAGGACCTCTCCCATGAGTAAAGATCAGCAATACTCCTGAGGAGGAATTATTCGTAGTGGTCTTGGTGAAGCAGCATAACATACCCTGATCTTGTGTTATCACCATGTGTTTGTTACTAATCTGCCTGTGAAATAGCCCCCTGCCACTTCTTGTGTCACAGAGCAGGCAGGTCATAGGCACAGAGAAATTCAACAGCCAGTAACAGTGGTTGTACCATTTATAGACATTTGCACACATCTTCCTGCCTCCTGACAGGTGGAGGACAAGGCTGGATATGGCTCTGAGCAACCTGGGTCTAGTGGAAGGTGTCCCTGCCCGTGGCAGGGGGTTGGAACAAAATGATCTTTAAAGTCCCTTCCATCCTAAACCATTCCATGATTCTATGAATACCTGAGTACTGAAGAGGTGCTTGGATGAGAATAGCTGGATGTTGGTTAATTCAGGAGTTACTTCATGTTGAGGTTCTTCACTGGTGATTTTCAGATTCAGTGCATGATAACAGAGTGCACTTAACAATTACAGCTCTTCTAGGACAGACTCAGTTTCTTTAACAGAGCTTAATATAGTGAGTTCAAGGTGCATCTGCCATTTAAAAGATAGATGAGAGTAAAACAGAAATTAATAATGCCCATCTGTTGTAATTAAGGGGGCTACTGTATTTTTCCTCCTAAATTAAGACTACACAGGGGAAGGGGATAAAAGAGTATTAATTAATTCAGAGGTATAGCTGCTCACTTCTGCTTTCACAAAAATTTAGTTCAGTGGACATACTACCTGGAAATCATTTCAACTTACTGCTGCCAGAGGAAGAACATAGAGGGGAACTTCATGAAGTGCTGGAGAGGATGTATTTCCTGGTTAAGAACAGAAAAAATGGAAAGACTAGAAAAGCAATAAATAGCAGCAAAAGGGAAAGTTATATAGAATACATATGCTCATGGGTAGAGGCTTGAGTTTATATGCCCTTTCAGAGACAGGATTTGAGCAACACTGATGATGAAAAAGGGACAGAAATTACAGAAAAAGGATTGCAAAGCAGGGTTAGGAGTGGTCAAGTACAGTTTCTGTGGAGCATGGTATTATCATGTACTAGTGGAGCATGGCTGCTGCCACTGTGTAGTTTTAGGACAAGAAAAACAATTGTGGGGCCTCTGGATGTTACTAAAAGTCTGTAGGAAACCTGTACCTCAGGTGAGGTGCTGGCAGGTAAAATCCTGGTGATTATGACTTGATGTCCATGGGAATGTCCTTACATACATATATTTGGATATTTGGAGTTCAGAGTGGAATTACAGATGTGCAGTTTGAAATGTTCAGTGTGCTCACAAGGTAAGTTAGTGCTCCTGATCCAGCACTGTCCATTTTCACAAGGGGAGGCTCTGGCTTTTCTTCCTGAGGAAAACACAATTGAAGAAGTTGCTCTTCTCCTTGACTTTTTTCCAGCTCTGGTGTGTTGATACTCAGGGAATATGTTGTTAGAAAGTAGAGATTGTGTGTTGAGAACAGCTGCAGTGTTGGACTTTTAAATGGAAATTTGTGTCGTGTTGTGTGTCTTGCAAAGCACCTAGAATAACAGAAAAGCTGTTTCAAAATTAAATTTAGGTAAAACAATACTGTCTGACAGTTTTCATAGGCATTGAAGCAAATTTGATTAATAAGATTCAAATGAAGTTACTGAAACAAGCAACTAATTCCATTAGCAACTGCAAATTAATTCCAAGGAACCTCTGTGGAGAGGGAATTAGCATAGGAAGCCCTGTAAATATGTGTACAATTGGGAACAAAGTTATCTGGCCTGCAGGTGGTGTGATCAGTCACAGCCTCGTTACCCATCCCAGATTGCAGTCAGTGTTGTGGTGTGTAGGAGTCTTTGCCAGGATGACCAGACCAGTGTGTGGTGTCCCTGTTGTCCCTGTGCCATGTCAGTCCTGCCGAGCCCCTCTGGTTCTGTGTTTCCAAAAGTGGTTCCCGTGATGTTTCTGTGGTGGAAGCAAAAAAACAAGTCAGTGTTCTTGCATCCAGCTTTTTTCTCCTGAGTCTTGCCTAAGTTCTGCACTAATTTTCTGCCAGTTTGAGGGAACTTGGGATGAGTAGCAAAAATATGTATCACCATGGAAAAGATGCAGAAATGGGGTGAAATTCCCTGATGCATTGAGCTGTGATGAGGAGAAAATCAACAGCAGAATAATGTACTTGAAAAGAAGCTTGACAAGTGCCTTTTGTCCCACATAGTTCTGTGTAAATACTTGGGAAGCAAAAGCTGCAGTGAGTGGTGGTTTTTTGTGTTCAGGCTTTCAGATGGATAATGCCCTCACCAGGATACTTGGATGGGCAGGGTACAGCAGGAGAGAATGAGGGAAATGAGGGAGGAGTGTGCGACTTTATGATGAGGAGGGGAGGCAGAGGGTCAGTGCTAAGTGGCCAGTGTGACATAATTTGCAAATAGGCATTGAGGTATTTGACTAAAAAAACCACATATATTTTTATTAAATCCATGTGTAGGTGTTTTTGTACAGCACTGTGAAGTACCAGTATTCATCAGTTACATCTGAAGTTTGTGATTGGAACAGTAGATTTGCAAGATTTTTTTTAGCCTGATAACATCAGAACCATCATAAAATCGAGCTGAATCAGGGGATGATTCTTTAGCTGAATGCATAAAATATTTAGGCTCAGTGTTTGTCCAGATAGAGGAAGAAATCTTTAAAACCATCCATAAGTTTTGTATTTGCATTTCTTTCGCTTCATTGTAGTTTCCCTAAAGCACTTCTGTGCTAACGGGCACTGGTTCTCCTTCAGACAAGGGCTGTGGCAAGTTTGCTGCTGAAAAGGTTTCTCAGGTGCAATAGTTTCTCATCTTACTGGTGTGTGGGTGTCATGGCTTTTTGGGGAGCTGTCAGGAAGCTAAGACTGCAAAAATAGTGTAAACAAATACTTTTTAAAACCACAACAATGAAAATTTTAAATTCCTACATGAAAATGAAGGAGGGAAAAAAAGGAAACGTTGTAGAGAATATATTGCATGGATCCAGCTGGAATTACTTCTTGTTGAGGTTATGCTTTGAGAGGAGCAAAACTTGAAGGTGGTTTCCTTTGCTGTGCTGTTACTCCCGCTATTAAATCTGAAGAAACAATCTGGCAAACTTTATTGTCTCATTTGGTTAAAATACAGCATCCCTTGCTTCATGTAGCAGCATCTGCATGTGGCATCTCACCTGGAGCTGAACCCTCTGTGTCTCTAACTGGTCTGAAAGCAAAAGAAGAATCTCTGCAGCTCTAGAAGGAGGCAGGGTGGGTGTGCAAAGCCAGGGCACTGGGAATATTTCTCTGTCTGCTCTGGAGTGCCCTGACCCCCAGGGGAGCACTGACTTTGACCCTCATTCATGGAGAAAGTTTCCCGCACTTCAAGATAGACTGGAATCCACAAAAATGTGAAATAGATTATAGAGAGTAGTGTAGCTGTATGACTTGGTGAGAAATTTAGCTTTTGGGATTTTTGCTATGTTGTGGATGGAAGCAAGATGGAGGGCATAGGGTGTTGTCCTGAGCTTCTTCTTCATGCTTCTTCTTCTTCCTTCTTCTTCATGGGTTTGGGTGGCATTTTGTAATTGGGCAAAAAAGTCTGCATTGTGGGCTCTGTGGGATCAGTTATTGGGTTAAAAGGGAAAATAATCTAGGTGTCAGTCCTTAATGGGATAGTTTAGTCTTAAAAGACCATGTAACAAGAGATTGTTGGCCATTTTGTGCCTTTTAATGAAAAGCTGCAGAACTCACAGTAGTGTGAGACTGTTTTACTGATAAAAAATAATAAACACCTGAGTCCAAACATGAAATACTGTTTCAAGTGCCCTCGATCCAGACCCAGAGAAACCCACAGCTGGTCCCCCCACAGGAGGACTCTCTGCTCAGTCAGCTCCTGGTTTTAATGTGCGCTCTGCTTTCTCCTCCCAGCAGGTATCCCCCGGGCGTTGTCAGCGTGGCTTCCACTGGCATACCTGCAGCAGTAGAAGGAATAGTCCCCAACCCCATGTCTCTATCACACGGCCTCCCTGCTGTAGCCCACCCGCCCCATGCTCCTTCCCCCGGCCAAACTGTCAAACCAGAAGCTGATAGAGACCACCCGAGCGACCAATTGTAGCCAACAACAGCATTCCCAGCAGCGGAGACGTCAGCCCCAGCGTGGAAAACAACACAACACAAAACAAAACCCTGGATTTTGATCAAAGGCAAAACCATGAACTTACAGGAGGAGACGATTATTGGTTTAGAAACTGGTCCAATATACAGTATAAAAGGAAAAGGTGGGAGACAAAAAGAAGATTTGGAAACATTTTTTTCCTCCGTATAAATTGTAGTTTGTCCCTGTCCAGTGGACTGATTCACTGTTTCTGTGTCCTATGGGTTCTTTGTTAAGCAAGAGAAGTTAGTAGTTAATTATATCATGAATGTACTTGTCTGTGTACAGTTTCTAGAACATTAAAAAGGGTTTGTTTGCTTAGCTGTCAACAAGGAAAAACATAAGGGAGGCATTCAGCAAACCAGTTTTGAGATTAAAAATCCTTTCTTTTATATTTTCAAACATGCCCAAAAATGAGGCAGTTGGCAAACTTCTCAGGACAATGAATTTTTTCCCATTTTTCTTTCTACGCCACACAGTGCATTGTTTTTTCTACCTGCTTGTCTTATTTTTTAGAATAATTTAGTAAACAAAAGAAAAACAGTTTCTCCTAATTTTGGCATGAATTCCCTTATTTCAAAATGAAGACAACCTTGCAAAGAGATTTTGAGGAAAACAAAAAGGTTTTGTATAAACGAGCATTGTGCTTTTTGTCACCAGTTAAAGTATATATTATTGGTGGTATCTGGAAAAGGCACTAGACTACTGAAAAGTAGCAGCATTTCATTGCCTACATTGATTCCTTCCTGGTAATGTGGTAGGCTAGCAATATTTTTGGTTAAAATCATGTTTGTGACTGTAACCATTTGTATGAATTATTTTAAAGAAATAAAAATCCCAGACAAATATCATATGTGTAAAAATTTTTATTTCTAGTAACTGTTTATTCAACTTTTATTAGGTTTCTTAGCTGTAATTTTTAAACAGATGCTGTCAAGTATTTCATTTCTAGCTTTACTTTGCTCTCTGTTGTTTGTAATACTGTCTTGGAAGCTTGAAAAATAAAAAAAAAATAATTCTTTCCATACCATTTTTCCCTTTACATTTCGTAAATGTTGATCTTTTTTCCTGTGTTTCTAATGGAGTTTGAAATTAAGATGGATTTTGATTTGTACACCGGCATCATCAGCTACAATGTGGTAACAGCATTTATGCCACCACTGTGGGCAGAGCAGAGGAGGTACAACAGCAACACAACAACAGCAGTAATAATAATAATAAATGTCTTTTGCCGAAGTCCAACACGAGAAGTGTCCATTGTTTTATTTGTTTCTGTGATGATGGAAGGCTGCAGCAGGATGTAATTGTATTTGCCTTATGGAAGGAGTTTGTTTCTTTGAGCACAGGCAGAACTGTGTTCAAGGCAGGTTAGATTCCAGCTGGATGCTGTTCAAACCTTTCCTGTGCTCCTGGGTAAGACATTCTTCATCCCTGCAAAGTTTTAAAAAAAAAGACAAAAGTTTAGCTGCTTCAGGAGGGAAATCCGTGGTGGGCAAAACTGAACCTGGACAGGAACCTTCGTGGTGGTCTGTTGTCTCTTTTTTCACTATTAGTGTGCACAGAGCATCCACCTAAACGTGGTGAGCTGGTTTTATGGGATGTGTGGAAAGGTTTGCAGAGCAGCCTCCACCTCAGTTCGGGAAAGGGTAAGAGGCTGCAAATCACAAAACTCTGAAATTTGTGGGTCTCTATGCAGAGAGCACAATGTACAGTGAAATTTTATCTGTGGAAGAGAGGAAGTTTTTTGCCTTGAACATTTAGAGCTAAAAATGTCATCTATTATAATTTATTTGATGGTAAAACTGTTTCTGTTCCCTCTGTGAAACAAAACAGAAAACAGCCCTAAAGCTGCGAGTTACCCCAGCAAAGACACTTCTAAGATCTTTGAGGCCAAAAACTTGCAAAAAACCAAATGCAATCTCCTTCTGTTGAAGTGGGATTTCATATTTCTTGGGTAATTCATATTTTAAGATGCTGCTTTGTCAGACTCAAGTTGCTTCTTTAACATATGTAAAACAAACATTGAACATCTGGCTGCCAAGAATTGCTGACAGCCACATTTGCAGCCCCATTTCCCAAGGAAAAACCAGGAGTGTTCCTTGCATCGTTTGGACATGGCTTGTTTAAGTAAGTACATTTTGTTCCTAGTGGATTGATAATTGAACTGGAAATGGTATTTATTGTGTGCATTTCTTGGGATCAGTTCAGAAGCACAAAATATTTCCAGGATTTGAGCCTGAAATGCATGTTCAGTGTTTTTATGTTGGTGTTTGAGGTTATCTCTCGGTCTGACTGGAGCAGAGTAATCCAGTTTCCTGCTTCAGAAAGGAAAAGCCATCTGGGCAGGGACAAGACTGATGGACACTGACTTTGGGCTATGATCTGAAAAGTAGTGAAAAGCCAGACTTGGGGTAAATGACTGATTGGAAAAGTGGCCCATAATAAACAAAAGACTGTTGAGCCAGAGCAACCTTCTCTCTTTTACGACTGCTTTTATTGGGTAGTGATGAGATTTTCCTCCGTTTGGTGAAGGATGTGCTAAATAAGTGTAGACAGCAGAAGATGCACTTAGTGGGAAAATACAGAGTGGAGAAGATGATGGCAGCACAGGCTACAGGTGACCTGAGGCAGTGCTGAAAGAGGAGTTTGATTGATGTGCCTGCCTTAAACATGATCTGCTTTTGGTGGCATTATTTGAATTGCAGGTCTTGACAAAGAATGAGGCTAAGGATGACAAAAATGCTGCTGACTCAAAGGCTGCAGGCAGCAGCAGGGTGACAGGAGGCTCTGGGGTGGCACAAAAATTCGGTGCTGTCCAAGAATGGGCAGAAAGGTGCCAGTTGTGCAAGTGCAAAACCAAGTGGTTGCAAATCAAACAAAAAGCTTAGCAGCAAAGGGACTCAGGGTGGGACTGAGGAGTGGTGCTGTGGGAGGGAGCAGTGTGGTGGCAGATTCATCTGGCACGGTGGTTTTGGTGGGTCTCAGAGTGGATCAGAGGTGATAAACAGGTCCTGTTACATTTGCGAGTAATTTTGGTCAGACATTTTCAAAAGACTGAGCTGGAGCTGAAGTCATAGGAGAGATGGGCTCTCAAATTCACTGATGGTGTGCAGGACTCATAGGAGAGGAAATCTGAGTGCCTTGATGTTTTCAGCTTAAAACTGAAGGCTGAGTTGGGGAAATGGCTATAAGCAAAAAATGCTGTGGAAGGAGAAATGTTAAAGAAATGCTGGTACATGACAGTCTAAGTGGGGTTAGGAAAAGTTCTCTGTCAACAGGGAGGTCCTGGGACTCAGTCCTGAAGTCTCTGCAGCTTGGGTTGGGGTTTTTGTTTTGTGTTTGGGTCCTTTTGGTTTTTTATATAACTTTGTTTTTATAATCCAGAATGTGAGAATGTTGTTTAAATGTTGTACAAGATTTCAACCAAACCAACAACTAGAGGCTTTTTTTCCATGCAGGATAAAACACTTTAAATTCTTTTTAAACAAGTTTCAAGGCTTTTCCCCTTATTACAGGGTTTGGGGTTTTTTGTTTTTTTTTTTTTTTTTTTAAAAATGCCAAATTTTCTTGTCCAGTTTCCACCTCAGATGATTAAGGCTGGCTTTCCAAATGACCTTGACTGCTGCAGTCTGTCTGTTCCCAGCTTGCTCCTTGCCTCAGACTGAAGGGTTTTCTCCTCTCATTTCAGTGGATTCATAGTGTTGGTTGTTCTGCTTGAAGGACAGGGCAGCACAACCTATATTTCCTTTATTCAGTTCACTCCAACCTTACTATTTGTAAATTGGAAAAAAAAAAGTCAAAGTCAGTAGTTTCAAGGGCAGAGTGTAGTATTAGATCATTTGTCTGAGCACCAATTAAAGCTGTTAAGTGTGATATGTGATGTGAGTCTTCCTTAAACCTGATACCATGTTTTGAATTCAGTAAATCTTTCAGAAAGATTTCTAGTATTTATGTGGAAATGTCAAGTGATGGGCGGGTTTTTTTTGCTGTTTCCTTTAGTAGCTTGTTTAAACGGGATGACTGTCAGTGTAATTTTTAAATGGCTTTATTTAATTTGGCTTTCCCTGCCTCTAAATTCCAGTTATTGTTTCATGTTAAACATGAGGTCATGTAGGCTGGCTTGAATTTAGTGAGCATGTCACATTTTAGCCATCTTGCCTTTGTGTTGAGGTCAGTGACACATCTTCCAGGAGGAACAAACTGTGTTATTCATCTGTTTTCTTTTCCAGTTGCTTCCATGCACACTTTCTTTGTGTCTCTGTATTTTTGCCCTTTGGAATGACATAGTCCAATACGGTTATCTCCTGCAGATGGAATTTCAGGGTTTCTGATCTCAGTCTTTCAGCTGTTCTCTTCTTCCCTCCATCAGCTTTCCAATTTCCTTGGTAAACTATTTTCCTTCAAAGTCACAAGTGCTCGAGGAAATTAATTAATCTTCTTAGTCCTTCTTTGCCCAGGTAGCACCTCATCAGCAGCCAGAGCTCCACACTGAGTGGTCCTGCTCCTTTCATCCACCATCTGCACCCTTTGTGTGTCTGCCTCTTGCAGAATGGACCTTTCCTGGGTCTCACACTTCAGATCAGCCCCTCAACATCTGCCTCGTGTCCTTCCTTGGCCCTTTCTAGCCTTTGGGAGACCTGGAATGCTACCCCTAGAATTCTTCCATTTTCTGGAAGGCAGTTCCACTTTCCATCTGTGAGTTTCAGCTTGACACAGACTCAGCTCTCCTTGGCTGACCTCCTTGCACACCACCTCCCTAAACCCATGCTAAACCCATGTTGTATATTACTTTTTTTTGTATCCGGTTTGGGGTTTGGGATCACCCAGCTGCTTTTTTTTTTTTTTTTTTTTTTTTTTTTTTTTTAAATGCAGATCGTCATCTGGAGTTTCCTTCCTTCATTTTCTGTACCACAAGAACAAATAAACCTCCTCATATCTGGTCTCAGCACTTTGCTTTGCCTTTGCACTTCTGCTCAGAGCCATAATGGAGTGTTTTCTTGAAGCAGCACTGTTTATTTGGGGTGTCATGATGGTGTCATGGCCACCATAAACAGACTAAACTATGTCCTTGGGATGGTTAGAGGCATCTGGGACATGCCCAAGATGACGCAGATAATTCTCTGAGTGTGCCAGTCCCTCAAAGATATTTGTTACTTACACAGACTTCAACTACACATCCACCCCCCTTCCTTCTTATGCTGCCTAAAAAGGATAAGGAGTTGCTGGCTCATGAAATAAAGTAAGGAAGAACCCCAAAATCAAATGTCTCAAAGGTCAAAGATTTAAAGCAATGAAGTGGAGCAAGATCATAGCTTAAATTGTCACAATAACCTTTGTGTCACCTTTTTGTGACACAAATATGTGTCACATTTGACGTGAAGCATATTAGAAGCAGACAATTATGTGTCAGTGTGACAGTGTTATTTATTTGTCTGTGCTGTGTAAACAGAGAACTTCTAGAGTTTGGGAAAAGCTTACAGAGCTGGCTCCCCAGATAAACTCTAGGAGTTAGGGCAGCAAATCAACATCTAAAAATAAATCTCCTGAGGAGCTGACATCCCAGACTTGTGTTTCCAAACCCCTCTAGCCATTTTCAAAGTGTCCCACCCGATGCAATGTGTTGAATTCTCAAGCCAGTTGCCTCCAACACAGCTGTCAGCTCCCATCCACATCCCTGGGACCTCGGGAAGCAGCAAACTTCCTCCTCAGCACACCTAAAAGCACCAGAGTAAATCCCATTTAAGTCCCTGCTGCTGTTCAGTAGGATTTTGGTTAAGCCCTCATGTAAAGCTAAGTCCGTGCTGCATTTTACTGCTCTTAAACCACAACAGAAAGAAAATCTGCTGGTGGTGTTTTCCAGTGACACATTTGCAGTTATCAGCACCAGTGGTTTCCATGTGGAAACGGGGTCAGGGGATTTCCAGCCTCTTTTTGATACAAGTTTTACTTCATTTTGCTGTTTGCTTGCTCATGTTTTTTCAAGCCCTAGTGTATGTGAAAAGTGTTTATTGTGTATGAAGTTCTG